TTTTGTTTTTGCTCCCATTTTTCATGAGATGAACTCAAAGATCTAAAACATTTTCTAAATACACAAAATAACCATTTCTCTCAAATATTGTTCACAAATCTGAAAGAATGTGTGATAGTGAGCACTTCTCCTTTGCCGAGGTAATCCATCCCACCTCACAGGTGTGGCATATCAAGATGCTGATTAGACAGCATGATTATTGCACAGGTGTGCCTTAGGCTGGCCACAATAAAAGGCCACTCTGAAACGTGCAGTTTTGCTTTATTGGGGGGGTCTGGGGGGGTCCGAAAACCAGTCAGTATCTGGTGTGAGGGTTAGGGTTAGGGTAATGTTGTGAATCGAGTGGCCCCAGACCCCCCCAATAAAGCAAAACTGCACGTTTCAGAGTGGCCTTTTATTGTGGCCAGCCTAAGGCACATCTGTGCAATAATCATGCTGTCTAATCAGCATCTTGATATGCTACACCTGTGAGGTGGGATGGATTATCTCGGCAAAGGAGAAGTGCTCACTATCACAGATTTTTTCAGATTTGTGAACAATATTTGAGATAAATGGTTATTTTGTGTTTATAGAAAATGTTTTAGATCTTTGAGTTCATCTCATGAAAAATGGGAGCAAAAACAAAAGTGTTGCGTTTATATTTTTGTTCAGCGTAGATATATATTTATTCGTTTTATGTGGAAATGCACTGCGAGGATTGCTTTTTTAAATTTCGTTGTACCTGGTGCGATGACAATAAAGGAATTCTATTCTATTCTAAAATAGAACTTTTTGGTAAAATCTCAACTCGACGTGTTTGGAGGAGAAAGAATGCTGAGTTGCATCCAAAGAACACCTACTGTGAAACATGGGGGTGGAAACATCATGCTTTGGGGCTGTGTTTCTGCAAAGCGACCAGGACCACTGATCCGTGTAAAGGAAAGAATGAATGGGGCCATGTATCGTGAGATTTTCAGTGACAACCTCCTTCCATCAGCAAGGGCATTGAAGATGAAACGTGGCTGGGTCTTTCAGCATGACAATGATCCCAAACACACCGCCCGGGCAACGAAGGAGTGGCTTCGTAAGAAGCATTTCAAGGTCCTGGAGTGGCCTAGCCAGTCTCCAGATCTCAACCCCATAGAAAATCTTTGGAGGGAGTTGAAAGTCTGTGTTGCCCAGCGACAGCCCCAAAACATCACTGCTCTAGAGGAGATCTGCACGGAGGAATGGGCCAAAATACCAGCAACAGTGTGTGAACACCTTGTGAAGACTTACAGAAAACATTTGACCTCTGTCATTGCCAACAAAGGGTATATAACAAAGTATTGAGATGAACTTTTGTTATTGACCAAAGACTTATTTTCTACCATCATTTGCAAATAAATTCTTTAAAAATCCTACAATGTGATTTCCTGGATTCTTTCCCCCCATTCTGTCTCTCATAGTTGAGGTGTACCTAGGATGAACATTACAGGCCTCTCATCTGTTTAAGTGGGAGAACTTGCACAATTGGTGGCTGACTAAATACTTTGTTGCCCCACTCTATATGATTGGCTAAAGGCTCGACGGGCACTAACTCTGCCGCTGAGGCATCAAAGATCCTGGCAGAGAACCGCAGATTGGTGCAAGAGCAGAAAGAGGAGCCGGTTACAGAGGGAGGAAGAGAAGAAGGTGAGAAAGGAAGAGGAGATGCGCTAAGTGGAGGAGGCTCGTTTGATACGCCTGGCAGAGGAGAAGAAAATCAAAGACGAGGAAGATGCTTTTCTAGCCGAGAAAAGCATCTTCCTAAAATATAATGATCATTATAGTTATAAAAAAATAAGAGAATAAAGGGAAAACAGTTATGAAATATTATATGGCAGTAAAACAAGAATAGAGTTTAAAAGGAGAGTGATTTGTAAAATATCCATAAAGAAAAAGTAAATCTGTTTACAGTTCTGTTTCATCTGGTGTTGAGAGATGTTTCCATAGATCTCTTCATGTTGCTCTCAAAGTGCACCAGATTGATGCTTTTAACTTCAATATTTAAAAATAAATCTTTCAGGGGGAGCATCCCCCCGGACCCCCCTAGAGGAGGTGAGGTCCGCCCCCCACTCGAAAAATTAGCACTTTACCCGTGCCTATATGCCGTGAGCTGATTATCGAGCCTTCATTGTAACAGTCGCGGGTGTACTGTGTGTGCGTGTGGGGAGTGTTGCAGTAGGAAATTCCACTGTACCGCCGCAGCCGCCGCCACTGTGGGCTAAGCCCCGAATGTTTTCAGGTCCAGGCGACGCCCCTGGTGTGTGCCCAGGCTGAGTTCCGCGGTGTCTCTCCGACCCCACACCAGTGAGCCAGCTCACAGTGTCCCGCTCCTCGCAGCAGCGAGCCTCGCAACGTCCCGCCGAGTGTGTGTGTGTGTGTGACGGGGTTCTATTGTCCGTATGAAAATACTGGCCTAGTCGGTTGGGTTAAGCTCCAAAATGTTAATAACAGCAGCAAAAATTAAAATAACGAACCAGCATAACTTAAACAAAACAAAATAAATGTCCAAATCAAACCGTCCATCACTCATCAGAGTAAACATGCTCTGGTGTTGCCTTCTCTGAAACCATCTCCCGAACATGTCCCAGCTGTTGCCTTCATTGCAACATTCTTCCGAGTCATCCTCCAGGGCCAAAACCGTCCATTTTGAACCCATAGCCCCTCCCACAGGCTTACCGTCAACAGGTGACGCAATTACCTCAAACCACATTGTCAACATAAAAAAAATGCGACCCAAACATAAACAGGTTACAAATGAACAAACACATAATAAATAATAAATTGCATGGTTCCTTTTTAGGAAGAGAGCAGGAAATGTTTGGTGTGTGTGTAGTGTGTGTGTGACTGTGTGTGTATGTGTGTCGGCTGTCAGTGGCGGAGTCGGTCACTCATGTGATCCGCTCCGTCAGTGTGTGAGGAAGTCCACGGATTGGTCCAAACGTAACGGCTCCGCAGACGTAAAGTAATGGCTCCATACCCGAAATACGTCACTGTAACCAGGAAGTAAACAATGGAAACAGAGAAATGTCCAACGAGGCGTTCTGGGGCAGCACAGACAGGTCTTCTCTGAGTCAGAGTGTTGCTCCCTACAGGGTGCACTTTGAGGGTTTGAGACTCTGCAGACCGTTCACATGCAGAAGCTACAGAACACAAGGGGACGGGTCAGAACCAGAGAAGCATGACATGGGACCTGTTAAGCCTCAAGGTCCCCGCCGGCGGGTACTCTTGTTTTTTTTTCTCACGACACAGTGTCTCAGGGGATCTTAATATTTAAGAACCTATTAATGTGTTATACCAGATTAACGGGAATAATCTCAGCTAACTGACGATACAAACCATTTTTACCAAAACAAAACACAAGTCTCATAAGAAGCATCTAAATGACCCCTGAGCAAAAAATGCTAACCTATTACTGCACCGATAATCACTCCTAGCTCCTCTATTACTTATCCTAGGTGCACATCCAAAACATCGTTTATGATCGCAAGGAGACACAGAATCTAACGGTGCCCACCTCAACACTGAAAGATACAAACTCGACGTTAACAAAAACGTACATCAAAACAAGTGGCGCTAGGTAGCCCACAACGCTAACATGGCTTACCTTCGTCTTTGTCTGGTCAAAACTGGTCTTCAATGGCATTAAAACGATAAAAAAAACGCTGCTGAAGTTAATCCATAGGTTAATCCAATGTGTCTGTGTCACTTTGAATGATTTCTGATAATCCATAAGCAATAAATCTGCTTTTCGGTTTTGAGATGTCAGACCTAGAGACAGCTTCACTCTGGAGCAAAACTGTGAACGCGAAGCCCCCACCTTTTCGTTTTGCCATGTGTGTGTGTGGGGAGATTCCCCTTGGATTCTATTGGCTCTAACGGTCAGAAAGAGATGTCACATGTCAGAATCGAACAAGGGGGTCCAGAGATAAGGAAAATCCACCCAAACTGCCCCAGAAGAGGTTTATTTTGCTAAATCTGTCTAAAAAGGTCAAAGGTCACTTGTTTTGCATCAACCTTGATACAGGGTACTTCTTATATGTTGTTCTTTGGATTCCTAAAGCTTTCAGTCTACTAACCCATCATCCAAGGTTTCACTATAAGTACAACATATTATTTGGACGGACAATACAATTTACAGTTTTTTACCATGTTCAATCTGAATTTTCTTTAAAATAAAAACATCTATATTGATTCTGACTCTTCTGCATCGAACTCACAGGTTCATTGTTACTTTGAGATCAAGGTTATTCATTGTTACTTTGAGATCAAGGTTATTCATCGTTACTTTGAGATCAAGGTTATTCATCGTTACTTTGAGATCAAGGTTATTCATCGTTACTTTGAGATCAAGGTTATTCATCGTTACTTTGAGATCAAGGTTATTCATCGTTACTTTGAGATCAAGGTTATTCATCGTTACTTTGAGAACAAGGTTATTCATCGTTACTTTGAGATCGAGGTTATTCATCGTTACTTTGAGATCGAGGTTATTCATCGTTACTTTGAGATCGAGGTTATTCATCGTTACTTTGAGATCGAGGTTATTCATTGTTACTTTGAGATCAAGGTTATTCATCGTTACTTTGAGATCGAGGTTATTCATCGTTACTTTGAGATCGAGGTTATTCATCGTTACTTTGAGATCGAGGTTATTCATCGTTACTTTGAGATCGAGGTTATTCATCGTTACTTTGAGATCGAGGTTATTCATTGTTACTTTGAGATCAAGGTTATTCATCGTTACTTTGAGATCAAGGTTATTCATCGTTACTTTGAGAACAAGGTTATTCATCGTTACTTTGAGATCAAAGATTATTCATTTAACCCTTTCAGAAGATATGGTCCTTTGTTCTGGGAAAGTCCTTTTGGAGCCTGAGGCCTGAAACACAGGCTCGGGGCTGAACAGATATCAAAGATGGAGGATGTGTTCATTTGAATGACCTTCATTTTATTTAGTTAATTACACTAAAAACAGATTTTCTAAATAAAACAGATTTGTTTTGTTTACAATTTTAATTTCACACTTAAACATTTAAACTGTGCAAAGAATGAAATAACCAGAAGGAGCCTGAGCCACAGAGGAGCTCATACTGGGAATCATACTGGGAATCATACCGGGACCTCATACTGGGAATCATACTGGGAATCATACTGGGACCTCATACTGGGAATCATACTGGGACCTCATACCGGGACCTCATACTGGGAATCATACTGGGACCTCATACCGGGACCTCATACTGGGACCTCATACCGGGACCTCATACTGGGAATCATACCGGGACCTCATACTGGGAATCATACCGGGACCTCATACTGGGACCTCATACCGGGACCTCATACCGGGACCTCATACTGGGACCTCATACTGGGACCTCATACTGGGAATCATACCGGGACCTCATACTGGGAATCATACTGGGACCTCATACCGGGACCTCATACTGGGAATCATACTGGGAATCATACTGGGAATCATACTGGGACCTCATACTGGGAATCATACTGGGACCTCATACCGGGACCTCATACTGGGAATCATACTGGGAATCATACTGGGACCTCATACTGGGTATCATACTGGGACCTCATACCGGGACCTCATACTGGGAATCATACTGGGACCTCATACTGGGAATCATACTGGGACCTCATACTGGGACCTCATACCGGGACCTCATACTGGGACCTCATACTGGGACCTCATACCGGGACCTCATACTGGGAATCATACCGGGACCTCATACCGGGACCTCATACTGGGAATCATACCGGGACCTCATACCGGGACCTCATACTGGGACCTCATACTGGGAATCATACTGGGACCTCATACTGGGACCTCATACTGGGAATCATACTGGGACCTCATACTGGGAATCATACTGGGACCTCATACTGGGAATCATACTGGGACCTCATAATGGGAATCATACTGGGACCTCATACTGGGAATCATACTGGGACCTCATACTGGGAATCATACTGGGACCTCATACTGGGAATCATACTGGGAATCATACTGGGACCTCATACTGGGAATCATACTGGGACCTCATACCGGGACCTCATACTGGGAATCATACTGGGAATCATACTGGGACCTCATACCGGGACCTCATACTGAGAATCATACTGGGACCTCATACCGGGACCTCATACCGGGACCTCATACTGGGAATCATACCGGAACCTCATACTGGGACCTCATACCGGGACCTCATACCGGGACCTCATACTGGGAATCATACTGGGACCTCATACTGGGACCTCATACTGGGAATCATACTGGGACCTCATACTGGGAATCATACTGGACCTCATACTGGGAATCATACTGGGACCTCATACTGGGAATCATACTGGGACCTCATACTGGGAATCATACTGGGACCTCATACTGGGACCTCATACTGGGAATCATACTGGGACCTCATACTGGGAATCATACTGGGACCTCATACTGGGACCTCATACTGGGAATCATACTGGGACCTCATACTGGGAATCATACTGGGACCTCATACTGGGAATCATACTGGGACCTCATACTGGGAATCATACTGGGACCTCATACTGGGACCTTATACTATCATACTGGGGCCTTATACTATCATACTGGGACCTCATATTATACTATCATACTGGGACCTCATATCATACTGGGACCTCATATCATACTATCATACTGGGACCTCATATCATACTGGGACCTCATATCATACTATCATACTGGGACCTCATACTATCATACTGGGACCTACTATCATACTGGGACCTCATACTGGGAGCTCATACTATCATACTGGGACCTCATACTGGGAATCATACTGGGACCTCATACTGGGACCTCATACTATCATACTGGGACCTCATATCATAATATCATACTGGGAGCTCATACTATCATACTGGGACATCATATCATACTATCATACTGGGACCTCATACTATCATATTGGGACCTCATATCATACTGGGACCTCATACTATCATATTATCATACTGGGACCTCATACTATCATACTGGGACCTCATATCATACTATCATACTGGGACCTCATACTGGGAGCTCATACTATCATACTGGGACCTCATACTATCATACTGGGACCTCATATCATACTATCATACTGGGACCTCATACTATCATACTGGGACCTCATACTATCATACTGGGACCTCGTACTGGGAGCTCATACCGGGAGCTCATACTATCATACTGGGACCTCATACTATCATACTGGGAGCTCGTACTATCATACTGGGACCTCATACTATCATACTGGGAGCTCATACTGGGAGCTCATACCGGGAGCTCATACTATCATACTGGGACCTCGTACTATCATACTGGGACCTCATACTATCATACTGGGACCTCGTACTGGGAGCTCATACCGGGAGCTCATACTATCATACTGGGACCTCGTACTATCATACTGGGACCTCATACTATCATACTGGGAGCTCATACTGGGACCTCATACTGGGACCTCATACTATTATACTGGGAGCTCATACTGGGAGCTGGTGGGTGTCCACACCACCAACAGAGAGCTGGTTTCCTGCTAGTGAGCGGGAAGAGCCCCATCATCTTCACTGGTATCTTGTAATGGAAAAGTTTCTCTTCTGGTTTTCAGAGCTCCTCTGTGGCTGCAGAGGATTTCCCAGCATGCCTTGGTAAACAGGTAATAAACAGGAAGTAAAGCTTGATGCACGGCATCAGTAACGAGCAGCAACAACGTCCGGCGGCCATGTTGGCTCTGGTGATATCACCATGTTGATATCACCATGGTGTTGTCATAGCAACACTGATCCATTCACACAGACACAGACACACACACACACACACACACACACACACACACACACACACACACACTTCTGTAGTCCATCAGCCAATCAGAATAAGACCTGTAGTCCATCAGCCCAGGTCCATAAGACCCGCCTTCTGGTCTCTGTAAAGTCCTCCCTGATTGGCTGCTTCCTGTCCGGCTCTTCTTCTTCCCTTCTGTCGGCGACGAGCCTGCTCCATCATCTCTGATCCTTCCCATGATCCTTTGCTCTACTGGGTGAACAGGTCAGCTGATCTCAGACCAGCAAGGTCACATGGTCACGGGTCAGGGAGGTCAGAGGTATCCACGGTAACCTGCGTCCAGCAAACAACAAAGGCTTTCATTAGAGACAGAGCATGGTGTCGCCCCCTGCAGGACCAACAGATCCACTGCAGGCAGAACGGGTGTGTTTGTCTCACCTTGATGAAGATGCTGTCTCACCTTGATGAAGATGCTGTCTGTTTGTCTCACCTTGATGAAGATGCTGTCTGTTTGTCTCACCTTGATGAAGATGCTGTCTCACCTTGATGAAGATGCTGTCTGTTTGTCTCACCTTGATGAAGATGGTGTCGTCTTTGATGTAGCTGCCTGTCTCCAGGACGCTCTGAGACACAAACAGAGGACATCCGGACGCAATGTTCATCTCTGCTGCCGGACGCCTGAAGCTGCTGCTGTTGGGGTCCGGCTTAAAGGCATCGCCCAGGTGCTTCCTGGCTGGACCCTGGTCCATCAGCATCAGGGTCACCTGCAGAGAGACAGGTGAGAGAGAGACAGGGTCAGTAGAGGTCAGTTGTCAGCAGAGGGTCAGCAGAGGGTCAGCAGAGGGTCAGCAGAATGTCAGTAGAGGGTCAGCAGAGTGTCAGTAGAGGGTCAGCAGAGGGCCAGCAGAGGGTCAGTAGAGGGTCAGTAGAGGTTCAGTAGAGAGCCAGCAGAGGGTCAGTAGAGGGTCAGCAGAGGGTCAGTAGAGGGTCAGTAGAGTGTCAGTAGAGGGTCAGCACAGGGTCAGCAGAGGGCCAGCAGAGGGTCAGTAGAGGGTCAGTAGAGTGTCAGTAGAGGGTCAGTAGAGAGCCAGCAGAGGGTCAGTAGAGTGTCAGTAGAGGGTCAGCAGAGGGTCAGTAGAGAGCCAGCAGAGGGTCAGTAGAGTGTCAGTAGAGGGTCAGTAGAGAGCCAGCAGAGGGTCAGTAGAGTGTCAGTAGAGGGTCAGCAGAGGGTCAGTAGAGGGTCAGCACAGGGTCAGCAGAGTGTCAGCAGAGGGTCAGCAGAGGGTCAGTAGAGGGTCAGTAGAGTGTCAGTAGAGGGTCAGCAGAGGGTCAGCAGAGAGCCAGCAGAGGGTCAGTAGAGGGTCAGCAGAGGGTCAGCAGAGGGTCAGTAGAGTGTCAGTAGAGGGTCAGCAGAGGGTCAGTAGAGGGTCAGTAGAGGGTCAGCAGAGAGCCAGCAGAGGGTCAGTAGAGGGTCAGCAGAGGGTCAGTAGAGGGTCAGCAGAGGGTCAGCAGAGGGTCAGTAGAGGGTCAGCAGAGGGTCAGTCGAGGGTCAGTTGTCAGTACCTTCTGCTTGAAGGGCCAGGGCAGCAGAGCGTCGTACTCGCCCCTCATCACCACAAAAAACAGCGACAGGTGCGTCCCCTTCCCCATGCCGTCCCCGTTCAGGTACACCCGGGCGCACATCTTGTACCCGAAGTACCCGGTGTAGAACGGCTGCGAGTACAGAGACAGCGTCTTCGCTGCCACCGCTTCCTGTTTCCGTCTCTTGTAGTCGCGGATCTTCCAGATCAGAGTCCCGTTATAACTGGCCGTCTCAAGAACCTGGAACCGGAGATCCATGTCAGCCAACCGGACATCATGAACGCTCAGCATGTCGTCATGGCGATTCAGCTGTGTCTCCAGGGACGCTGCACAGAGGAGGACATTAATTATGTAAACATATAGTAGCTTAGACTCAGGTCTTCTACAACTAGTGCCCAGATTTTTGGAACTAGTGCCTAGACCAGGGGTGGCCAACCCGCGGCTCTCGAGCCGCATGCGGCTCTTTGCCTAGTTTCATGCGGCTCTTCAGTTCATATCGAATTGTATATGTGTGAGTTTGGGGGAGAGACACTGACTCCTGACTAGTGTTGCACGGTGTACCGATACTTGAAAGGTATACCGCGATACCCTGTCGTTAAAAACGTTACGATTCCTCCGTTTCATTAGTATCGGTACTTTAAGAATGACGGGGGAAAGTACTCCGGTGAGAAAGCGCCGTTTTAATAAGAGCCGTGTGTGTTCAGCGCTCTGCTTCCACTCCCTGCACTGCAGCCGTGCCTGCAGTCCCGCCCCTCTCAAGCACGCTCTAAGTCCCTCCCCTCTCTCGTGCACGCGCTAGCTGCCAGAGCATGTGAGAAAGCGAGAAGCATGGCTGCAAGTGGGAGTGCAGCTGCCGCTGCGCCTCGGCTTGTTGACAAAAAAGACGCCAGAAGCGAAATTTGGAAGTATTTGAGCGATATCTCTGACAGTGAGGGCAAGCCTACGGACACCACGAGGCCTGTCTGTAAGAAATGTATTAATTGTATTTAATAGGAAATCTTGTCATTTATTTAATTTATTGTTCTCATTGTTTAAAAGTTTGTGTTATGGTTATGGTTCTGGTGTGAAATAAAGCACAATAATTACATTTAAGACTGTTTTTTAAGAAAAGTATCGAAAAATAATCTGAATCGCAATTCTTGACTTGGTATCGAAACCAAAATGTTGGTATCGTGACAACACTAGCTAGCTACTCCTGACAGTTAAACCTGATATTTAGTAGGTCTGTTAAGTATTAACGTAATTTGGCCGGTCAAAGTTGTTTGGGCTCGGATAAAATCGCTCCGTTACTTTCGTCCCGGCTCTCCCTACGTGTGTATGTGTGGTGTCAGGTGTCAGTATGAGAGGATGACAGCGCGTCTAATTTTGATGTGGCCCAAGAGCCAATCACAATAATACCTGCGATGCAGTGAACCAATCACCTTTGAGGGGGGGAAACCTATCGTTGATTAAACACTATCCAGTGTTTCCCCTACCATTGTTTTGGAGGGGCGCTGCGCCCCGCCAACGGAGCCCCGCCCCCCCCCTGAAATTCAAGGTGTTTAAAAAATATATATAATTTTTTTTTTTAAATATATATAGCACCAAATTGCAAATAATCTATAACTACTGTCACTTTTCACATTGAACATGTGCTCTTTTATTAAATAAACTAAACGCTTTCATTTTAAGTTGTGAATTTAGTGTTTTTGACCCTAAGAAACACTGATGCATTAATCAATAACAATAATCCACAGCTCCTCTCTCTGCTCCAGAGGATTTAAAAAATATATATCCCAATGCCACAAAAATGCATCAGTGACGTGGTTGAAATCTTGTCTCCAGAAAACAAAAAAACGGAAACAAGCGGTATCAGTGCCTGTGTGTTTGATGTGGCTCTTTGCAGTAACATAGAAAAAATGTGGCTCTTAACCTCTGACTGGTTGGCCACCCCTGGCCTAGACCTTTGGAACTAGTGCCCAGACTTTTGGAACTCAATCAATCAATCAATGTTTATTTATATAGCCCAATATCACAAATGTTACATTTGTCTCAGTGGTCTTCACAGTGTGTACAGAATATCAGTATGACAATACGACACCCTCTGTCCTTAGACCCTCACACTCGTGCCTAGACCTTTTGAACTAGTGCCCAGACCTTTTGAACTAGTGCCCAGACCTTTGGAACTAGTGCCCAGACCTTTGGAACTAGTGCCCAGACCTTTTGAACTAGTGCCCAGACCTTTGGAACTCGTGCCCAGACCTTTGGAACTAGTGCCTAGACCTTTGGAACTCGTGCCTAGACCTTTGGAACTAGTGCCCAGACCTTTGGAACTAGTGCCCAGACCTTTGGAACTAGTGCCCAGACCTTTGGAACTAGTGCCCAGACTTTTGGAACTAGTGCTCAGACCTTTGGAACTAGTGCCCAGACCTTTGGAACTAGTGCCCAGACCTTTGGAACTAGTGCCCAGACCTTTGGAACTAGTGCCTACACCTTTGGAACTAGTGCCCAGACTTTTGGAACTAGTGCCCAGACTTTTGGAACTAGTGCCTAGACCAGGCATCCTCAAACTACGGACTCCGGTCCGGATCCGGACCGAACCAGCACTGTCTCCGGACTCTGAGCAAATTATACTTTTCATATGTATGATCTCTCTGTATTATATGTGAGACATCGCCACAACGCATTCGCAACGAGTCAAAATTCTCCGCTATGTCCACTGCAAACAGCGCTCTGCATGTCTGACTGTTCCACTGTGTTCCACCTGTGTGTGTCAACGCTTTGGTCCAATCACATTCAGCATCCAGTCAGCGTTTTTTCCCCCCAAACAATCTGCGAATCAGAGGCACAGTAGGGCGGGTCTTCGCGGAATGCGGGTGGGAAAAATGTGTGTGTCTCTTTCGACCTGTCTAAGTCAGAGCGAGAATTAAAACAAAAACAACAAAAATTCAGAGCGAGAGTTAACAGCTCATCTAGTTCCATCTGTACTGTAGCTAGTAGCCTAGTTTCACCTACCGGGGTGGCAACTGACACCCTAAAAATAGGCCTTGCCACCCCAGCTGCCACCCCAGTTGGCAGCTTTGTTTTGAAAGAAAAGTTGTGGCTCATCGGACATTTATGAGAGAAAGTCTCTAATGTCCGAGTGCAAGTGAATGCAGCACAAGATGCACGTCATGTAACCCCTCCCCCGGTCCTGGCGCGAGCGTGGACATACGATTTGGCGGCGATTTCATTTTTAACTGGACGGCGCAAAACGAGAAGCATTCGGACCCAAGCACTGAAGGAATGAGGTATTTGCGGTCTACAATGACAGAGAAGAGACTGTCAGTTTGGCTGTACTCAGCATTGAATCAAAACGCACTGAAGCTGTTGATCTTAATACGTTTGTGAGGCGTTTCGCTGAACAAGATGGTAATCGCCGCATTCAGCTGTAATAGACATGCCAACTTGATGCTCTGCTCATGGATGAGCATACAAAACTATTAAAATGATGACCTTACGTGTGTAAATAAATTGTTTTCTTTGAGGGGGTCTGCCCCCAAAAAACTGTTTTAAGTCCTGAGAAAGTCAAATAAGACGGTGTTTAAAACTACACTGCCCAGCCAAAAAAAAGTAACCACTTTGATGTAACTAGGCCAGTAGGTAAGGACTTTCCACTGGATAATAACTGCAGTATAAAAGAATGCATGACTGAAGTGATGGAGACCATGTTGAAGGCAAACAAAAAGAGGAAATAACAGGTCAAGCAAATCCCCCTCTCAGATTGCACAGCAACCAGAAGAACAGAAATACTGGCTGGTGATTTGATTCATCAGCTTTGTGATGGAATAAAAAATGCACAGTGCATTTCCTTAGCTGTGGGTGAGTCCACTGACACCACTGACAATGCTCAGTTGCTGGTGTTTGTGAGTTTTTACGATGAGGCAAAGGGGGAGTTTGTTGAAGATGTGTTGGGCCTGACGAACCTCAGTGGACACACAAGGGGGCAAGACATTTATAAAGCAATAATGGGAATGCTGAATGAAAGAGGGTGCAGCTGCCTTTATTCATAACTGTGCAGCTCTTACACTGCGACTCTGAGGGATCAAGCACAGACACAATAACAATGAAAACTGCTGCATACAGATTATTTTTGTTTTTGCAACCTCGTGTTAAGAATCTTGTTGCAATTGTTTAAAAGTTTGAATGACCGTAATAAACGGACCTTTGTCTTATTGAAACATTTATTTTGGACCTTTAAGATTTGTATTTGAGTACCCCTGGCCTAGACCTTTGGAACTAGTGCCCAGACTTTTGGAACTAGTGCCTAGATCTTTGGAACTAGTGCCCAGACCTTTGGAACTAGTGCCTACACCTTTGGAACTAGTGCCCAGACTTTTGGAACTAGTGCCCAGACTTTTGGAACTAGTGCCTAGACCTTTGGAACTAGTGCCCAGACTTTTGGAACTAGTGCCCAGACTTCTGAGATTAGTCCCAAGAGTTTGTACCAAACTTTTTGAGTAGTCAGACATGACTAGTACCCAGACATGTGAACTAGTCTCCAGATTTTGTAACAATTCTCCATTACAATTAAAAAACCCAACATGTTCCCTTCTCCTCTCATTCGGTATTCATGTTCTTTCTAACGATATGGATTAATAGCCCTCAGCATACAGTCCCCAGAGTGGGTGTTCTCACCCAGAGTGTGTGTTGTGACCCAGTGTGTGTGTTCTCACCCAGAGTGTGTGTTGTCACCCAGTGTGTGTGTTCTCACCCTGAGTGTGTGTTCTCACCCAGTGTGTGTGTTCTCACCCTGAGTGTGTGTTCTCACCCAGTGTGTGTGTTCTCACCCAGAGTGTGTGTTGTGGATCCAGTCCCGCTGCGTCCTCCTTGTTCCAGAGCGTTCAGTCTCGTCCGGACGTTCTCCAGGGTTCCTCTGATGTTCTCCACTTCCTCTCTGAGAACCCGAAAAGAACGCAGCTCTAGCTCCACCTCCAGAAGCTTCTCTGAGTGAGAACTCATCAGTTTCTAAAGGAGGAGAGAGTGTGAGAACCAACAGACAGGAAGTGATGATGATGGTCATGATGGTCCACACCCAGTCTTTGATTCCCATTACAGCGGTCATTTTAAATCAGATAAAAATATATGACTAAGAGTGACCTGCATGGTGGCCAGCTTCTGCTCCATCTGCCGGTTCTTCTCTCGCAGCTCGTCCTGCTGGTTCTCCAGCTCTGACAGCCGACTGCTGAGAGCAGGAAGCACCTTGTACCTCTCCAGCAGATCCCCTTTAATGTCCTCCACCTGGAGACAGAATAGCGGTCAGGTAAACTCAGTCTCTCTGATGTGGGTTCCTCAGAACTCGGGATAAAGGTACCTTGTTCTCTAACGCTGAGTTCCTGCTGGCCATCATCCTCAGGTGTTCGGCTGCAGAGCTGGACTCGTGCTGCCTCAGGTCCTGGTTCAAACCCTGAAACACGGGGAACACATTAACTCTGGAGGGTTCTACCCTGAAACACAGGGAACACATTAACTCTGCAGGGTTCTACCCTGAAACACAGGGAACACATTAACTCTGCAGGGGTCTACCCTGAAACACGGGGAACACATTGACTCTGTAGGGGTCTACCCTGAAACACAGAGTACACATTAACACTGCAGTGTGTGTGTGGTTCTGGGTTACAGTGAGGTGTGTGGTTCTAGGTTACAGTGATGTTTGTAGTTCTGTGTTACAGTGAGGTGTGTGGTTCTAGGTTACAGTGAGGTGTGTGGTTCTAGGTTACAGTGAGGTGTGTGGTTCTAGGTTACAGTGAGGTGTGTGGTTCTGGGTTACAGTGAGGTGTGTGGTTCTAGGTTACAGTGAGGTGTGTGGTTCTAGGTTACAGTGAGGTGTGTGGTTCTAGGTTACAGTGAGGTATGTGGTTCTAGGTTACAGTGAGGTGTGTGGTTCTGGGTTACAGTGAGGTGTGTGGTTCTGGGTTACAGTGAGGTGTGTGGTTCTAGGTTACAGTGAGGTGTGTGGTTCTAGGTTACAGTGAGGTGTGTGGTTCTAGGTTACAGTGAGGTGTGTGGTTCTGGGTTACAGTGAGGTGTGTGGTTCTAGGTTACAGTGAGGTGTGTGGTTCTAGGTTACAGTGAGGTGTGTGGTTCTAGGTTACAGTGAGGTATGTGGTTCTAGGTTACAGTGAGGTGTGTGGTTCTGGGTTACAGTGAGGTGTGTGGTTCTGGGTTACAGTGAGGTGTGTGGTTCTAGGTTACAGTGAGGTGTGTGGTTCTGGGTTACAGTGAGGTGTGTGGTTCTGGGTTACAGAACCTCTGGAGGCGGGTCAGTTACCTTGAAGCTACAGCCATAACGCAGGAACTGGCAGCTGACCTGAGCTTTGGGACAGTCGTGCTGGTGACTGGACAGCTGAACACAAAAAACATCAATCAGAACTTTCAAAACCATCATCAGAACCATCATCAGAACCTTCAGTACCATCATTCAGTAACATCATCCAGAACCATCATCAGAACCTTCAGTGCCATCATTCAGAACGATCAGTACCATCATTCAGAACCATCAATCAGAACCATCAGCAGTAAAACAGATCCTCAGTACTGATGGAGGAGAACCGGGTCAGTACCTCGCTGCGGGGCAGGGCGGATAACGAGCAGAGGTTTGGACACGGAACCAGGAACGCCGGACACACCGTCTCCTTGTGTTTCTGCAGACAGGACGTTTATTATCACCATCAGAACCAGACGGCTCCGTCAGACAGACAGGTTAGTTACAGACAGATTACAGACAGACAGGTTACAGACAGACAGGTGACAGACGGGTTACAGACAGACAGGTTACAGACAGGTTACAGACAGGCAGGTTACAGACAGACAGGTGACAAACAGGTTACAGACAGGTTACAGACAGACAGGTTACAGACAGGTTACAGACAGACAGGTGACAGACAGACAGGTGACAGACAGGTTACAGACAGACAGGTGACAGACAGACAGGTGACAGACAGACAGGTGACAGACAGGTTACAGACAGACAGGTGACAGACAGACAGGTGACAGACAGGTGACAGACAGACAGGTGACAGACAGACAGGTGACAGACAGACAGGTTACAGACAGACAGGTGACAGACAGACAGGTGACAGACAGGTTACAGACAGACAGGTTACAGACAGACAGGTGACAGACAGGTGACAGACAGGTTACAGACAGGTGACAGACAGGTGACAGACAGACAGGTTACAGACAGACAGGTGACAGACAGACAGGTTACAGACAGACAGGTGACAGACAGGTGACAGACAGACAGGTGACAGACAGGTTACAGACAGACAGGTGACAGACAGGTTACAGACAGGTGACAGACAGGTTACAGACAGACAGGTGACAGACAGACAGGTTACAGACAGACAGGTGACAGACAGACAGGTTACAGACAGACAGGTGACAGAGAGGTTACAGACAGACAGGTGACAGACAGACAGGTTACAGACAGACAGGGACAGACAGACAGGTTACAGACAGACAGGTGACAGACAGACAGGTGACAGACAGACAGGTGACAGACAGACAGACAGACAGACAGGTGACAGACAGGTGACAAACAGACAGACAGGTTACAGACAGACAGGTTACAGACAGACAGGTTACAGACAGACAGACAGGTTACAGACAGACAGGTGACAGAGAGGTTACAGACAGACCGGTGAGAGACAGACAGGTTACAGACAGGTTACAGACAGACAGGTGACAGACAGACAGACAGGTGACAGACAGACAGGTTACAGACAGACAGGTTACAGACAGACAGGTTACAGACAGACAGGTTACAGACAGACAGGTTACAGACAGACAGGTGACAGAGAGGTTACAGACAGACCGGTGAGAGACAGACAGGTTACAGACAGGTTACAGACAGACAGGTGACAGACAGACAGACAGGTGACAGACAGACAGGTGACAGACAGACAGGTGACAGACAGACAGGTGGCAGGGTTGGGAGGGTTACTTTGTAAATGTAATCAGTTACTGATTACTGAATACATGGCTCTGAAAGTAATCTGAATACAGTTAGAGTTACGTGTCTTAAAAAAGGTAATCAGATTACTTTTAGATTACTTTTGGATTACTTTCTTTTTCCATCACAGATGGATGTGTTGGTGAACAGGAGACACAAAGTGCAAAAGGAAACTGAACGTGTTTTTACTGTTTTCATGGCGTATCAAGAGCACAACTGAAACATAGCATCTGAAACGATGTACCAACATAATACACTTTCTGGGGATGCAGCTTGGGATGTGAGGAGTGAGGGACACGGCTTAGAACGGGCGTGTCGCCTTCTGTTCTGCCAGTGTTGGCAGGACATGAATTCAAATGTGGAACTCGGACTTCATTTTAAGGACATTTCGGCCAGGGGTGTAGAGCTATATTTGTTTAACCACCGGATTGGCAAAACAGGAGAGTGTGCACCAGTCTGCCTTGATCTATGTATTCATGTCTGTGACTCTCACAGTATCTGCTGCCCACAGCTGCTTTATGGAAGGAACACCTCCTTCACTTCATGACATCTCTGCAGCGCCAGGAGGCAGCGGGAGGGTTCACTCAGCCTCTGAGAAGAGGAGCGCGCAGTGCCTTTCACGCACCGCCTTCACTGTGTATACCAGGGGTGGGGAACCTCCGGCCCCCGGGCCGTATAAGGCCCGCGAGACCATTTGGTGTGGCCCTCGAGGTAATTTATAAACACACGCAAAAAAGAAAAAAATTAAAGAAATCTAGACCGCAAAAGAATTAAACAAGCGAGTGCCTGTTTTTCCTGGCCAAGGTCAGGGTCCTTGAACACAACACAAGCCTAACGTGTCATCACGTGGTATAAGTCTCGTCTGACAGGGGTGCAGTTCTGACGGAGAGCACCGGAACGCAGCTCCGCTCCGGCACTTCCAAAAATTGCAGTACCCATAAGGAGCCGTACACATGCTGCAGTTTCTGCGTGTCTGTGTCTTTAGTTGAAAGCCCAGTGGCGATCTGTTCATCTGTCACACTGATCATACAGTCAATAACTTTGTTGCTATTAGCATCTGGTTAGCTAGCTATGCTAACGAATATAAGAAGCTTTTTCTCCAACCAGTGAGGTAAAGGTACATCTTTATATGATCATTATAGTTATACAAAAATAAGAGAATAAAGTAAACAGGTATAAAATACTATATGACAGTAAAAAAAAGTTGTTATTAATAAACAAGAATAGAGTTTGAAAGGAGAGTGATTTGTAAAATATCCATAAAGAAAAAGAAAATCTGCTTACAGTTCTGTTTCATCTGGTGTTGAGAGATGTTTCCATAGATCTCTTAATGTTGCTCTCAAAGTGCACCAGATTGATGCTTTTAACTTCAACATTTAAAAACACATCTTCCTGGGGGAGCATGCCCCCGGACCCCCCTAGAGGAGGTTAGGTCCCCCCCCCCACTTAAATCATGTTCACATGGATAGGACAGGTGACAGACAGACAGGTGTCAGACAGTCAGACAGACAGGTGACAGACAGACAGGTGTCAGACAGTCAGACAGACAGGTGACAGACAGACGGGTGACAGACAGACGGGTTACAGACAGACAGGTGTCAGACAGTCAGACAGACAGGTGACAGACAGACGGGTGACAGACAGACAGACAGACAGGTGACAGACAGACGGGTGACAGACAGACGGGTGACAGACAGACAGGTGTCAGACAGGTTACAGACAGACAGGTGTCAGACAGTCAGACAGACAGGTGACAGACAGACGGGTGACAGACAGACAGGTGTCAGACAGTCAGACAGACAGGTGACAGACAGACGGGTGACAGACAGACGGGTGACAGACAGACAGGTGTCAGACAGTCAGACAGACAGGTGACAGACAGACGGGTGACAGACAGAAAGGTGTCAGACAGTCAGACAGACAGGTGACAGACAGACGGGTGACAGACAGACAGGTGTCAGACAGTCAGACAGACAGGTGACAGACAGACGGGTGACAGACAGGTGACAGACAGACAGGTGTCAGACAGTCAGACAGACAGGTGACAGACAGACGGGTGACAGACAGACAGGTGACAGACAGGTTACAGACAGACCGGTACCTGCAGCTCCGTCAGAGGCATCTTGCTGCTGCAGAACTCACAGCTGGTCTCTCTGTGTTTACACTTCCAGCTCAGGTGGTCGGGGATCTCCTTCCTCATCATCCTCTCCTTACACTGGCCCAGAGGACAGGGAACCTCGAAGAACAGACACACCGTCAGGTGCTCCTGAGAGGGAGACAGGTGGGAGACAGGTCAGAGACAGGTGAGAGACAGGTAGAGAGAGGTCAGAGACAGGTGAGAGACAGGTGGGAGACAGGTGAGAGACAGGTAGAGACAGGTGAGAGACAGGTGAGAGACAGGTAGAGACAGGTCAGATACAGGTGAGAGACAGGTGGGAGACAGGTGAGAGACAGGTCAGAGACAGGTGAGAGACAGGTGAGAGACAGGTAGAGACAGGTAGAGACAGGTGAGAGACAGGTAGAGACAGGTCAGAGACAGGTAGAGACAGGTCAGAGACAGGTAAGAGACAGGTAGAGACAGGTAGAGACAGGTCAGAGACAGGTAAAGACAGGTAGAGACAGGTGAGAGACAGGTAGAGACAGGTAGAGACAGGTCAGAGACAGGTCAGAGACAGGTCAGAGACAGGTAAGAGACAGGTAGAGACAGGTCAGAGACAGGTAGAGACAGGTAGAGACAGGTAGAGACAGGTAGAGACAGGTAGAGACAGGTTGAGACAGGTGAGAGACAGGTGGGAGACAGGTAGAGACAGGTCAGAGACAGGTAGAGAGAGGTCAGAGACAGGTGAGAGACAGGTGGGAGACAGGTGAGAGACAGGTAGAGACAGGTGAGAGACAGGTGAGAGACAGGTGAGAGACAGGTAGAGACAGGTCAGATACAGGTGAGAGACAGGTGGGAGACAGGTGAGAGACAGGTCAGAGACAGGTGAGAGACAGGTGAGAGACAGGTAGAGACAGGTGAGAGACAGGTAGAGACAGGTCAGAGACAGGTAGAGACAGGTCAGAGACAGGTAGAGACAGGTCAGAGACAGGTAGAGACAGGTAGAGACAGGTAGAGACAGGTGAGAGACAGGTAGAGACAGGTAGAGACAGGTCAGAGACAGGTAAGAGACAGGTAGAGACAGGTCAGAGACAGGTAGAGACAGGTAGAGACAGGTAGAGACAGGTATAGACAGGTAGAGACAGGTTGAGACAGGTGAGAGACAGGTGGGAGACAAGTAGAGACAGGTCAGAGACAGGTGAGAGACAGGTAGAGACAGGTGAGAGACAGGTAGAGACAGGTAGAGACAGGTAGAGACAGGTGAGAGACAGGTAGAGACAGGTGAGAGAAAGGTGAGAGACAGGTAGAGACAGGTAGAGACAGGTAGAGACAGGTGAGAGACAGGTGAGAGACAGGTAGAGACAGGTGAGAGACAGGTAGAGACAGGTAGAGACAGGTAGAGACAGGTAGAGACAGGTAGAGAAAGGTAGAGACAGGTTGAGACAGGTGGGAGACAGGTAGAGACAGGTGAGAGACAGGTGAGAGACAGGTAGAGACAGGTAGAGACAGGTGAGAAACAGGTGAGAGACAGGTGGGAGACAGGTAGAGACAGGTCAGAGACAGGTGAGAGACAGGTCAGAGACAGGTCAGAGACAGGTGGGAGACAGGTAGAGACAGGTCAGAGACAGGTGGGAGACAGGTAGAGACAGGTCAGAGACAGGTGAGAGACAGGTGAGAGACAGGTAGAGACAGGTCAGAGACAGGTGAGAGACAGGTGAGAGACAGGTCAGAGACAGGTCAGAGACAGGTGGGAGACAGGTAGAGACAGGTCAGAGACAGGTCAGAGACAGGTGGGAGACAGGTAGAGACAGGTAGAGACAGGTGAGAGACAGGTAGAGACAGGTCAGAGACAGGTGGGAGACAGGTGAGAGACAGGTGAGAGACAGGTGAGAGACAGGTAGAGACAGGTAGAGACAGGTAGAGACAGGTGAGAGACAGGTGAGAGACAGGTAGAGACAGGTAGAGACAGGTAGAGACAGGTCAGAGACAGGTGAGAGACAGGTAGAGACAGGTGAGAGACAGGTAGAGACAGGTAGAGACAGGTGAGAGACAGGTAGAGCCAGGTGAGAGACAGATGAGAGACAGGTAGAGACAGGTAGAGACAGGTAGAGACAGGTCAGAGACAGGTGAGAGACAGGTAGAGACAGGTAGAGACAGGTAGAGACAGGTAGAGACAGGTCAGAAACAGGTGAGAGACAGGTGAGAGACAGGTAGAGACAGGTGAGAGACAGGTAGAGACAGGTCAGAGATAGGTGAGAGACAGGTGAGAGACAGGTAGAGACAGGTCAGAGACAGGTAGAGACAGGTAGAGACAGGTAGAGACAGGTCAGAGACAGGTAGAGACAGGTAGAGACAGGTAGATACAGGTCAGAGACAGGTAGAGACAGGTAGAGACAGGTAGAGACAGGTTGAGACAGGTGAGAGACAGGTAGAGACAGGTCAGAGACATGTGAGAGACAGGTGAGAGACAGGTAGAGACAGGTGGGAGACAGGTAGAGACAGGTTGAGACAGGTGGGAGACAGGTGAGAGACAGGTGAGAGACAGGTGGGAGACAGGTAGAGACAGGTTGAGACAGGTGAGAGACAGGTGGGAGACAGGTCAGAGACAGGTAGAGACAGGTAGAGACAGGTGAGAGACAGGTGAGAGACAGGTGGGAGACAGGTAGAGACAGGTCAGAGACAGGTGAGAGACAGGTAGAGACAGGTAGAGACAGGTCAGAGACAGGTGGGAGACAGGTAGAGACAGGTCAGAGACAGGTCAGAGACAGGTGGGAGACAGGTAGAGACAGGTGAGAGACAGGTGAGAGACAGGTGAGAGACAGGTAGAGACAGGTAGAGACAGGTGAGAGACAGGTAGAGACAGGTGAGAGACAGGTAGAGACAGGTAGAGACAGGTGAGAGACAGGTAGAGACAGGTAGAGACAGGTGAGAGACAGGTGAGAGACAGGTAGAGACAGGTAGAGACAGGTCAGAGACAGGTAGAGACAGGTGAGAGACAGGTAGAGACAGGTGAGAGACAGGTGAGAGACAGGTGAGAGACAGGTGAGAGACAGGTAGAGACAGGTCAGAGACAGGTGAGAGACAGGTAGAGACAGGTGAGAGACAGGTAGAGACAGGTAGAGACAGGTAGAGACAGGTGAGAGACAGGTAGAGACAGGTGAGAGACAGGTAGAGACAGGTAGAGGACAGGTGAGAGGACAGGTGAGAGACATGTAGAGACAGGTGAGAGAGACAGGTGAGAGACATGTAGAGACAGGTGAGAGACAGGTCAGAGACAGGTAGAGACAAGTAGAGACAGGTGAGAGACATATACAGACAGGTGAGAGACAGGTAGAGACATGTCAGAGACAGGTGAGAGACAGGTGAGAGACAGGTAGAGACAGGTCAGAGACAGGTGGGAGACAGGTGGGAGACAGGTGAGAGACAGGTAGAGACAGGTCAGAGACAGGTGAGAGACAGGTGGGAGACAGGTGAGAGACAGGTAGAGACAGGTGAGAGACAGGTCAGAGACAGGTAGAGACAGGTAGAGACAGGTGAGAGACAGGTAGAGACAGGTCAGAGACAGGTGGGAGACAGGTGAGAGACAGGTAGAGACAGGTGGGAGACAGGTGAGAGACAGGTGAGAGACAGGTAGAGACAGGTCAGAGAGAGGTGAGAGACAGGTAGAGACAGGTAGAGATAGGTCAGAGACAGGTGGGAGACAGGTGGGAGACAGGTAGAGACAGGTGAGAGACAGGTGAGAGAAAGGTAGAGACAGGTAGAGACAGGTGAGAGACAGGTAGAGACAGGTGAGAGACAGGTAGAGACAGGTGAGAGACAGGTGAGAGACAGGTGGGAGACAGGTAGAGACAGGTAGAGACAGGTGAGAGACAGGTAGAGATAGGTCAGAGACAGGTGGGAGACAGGTAGAGACAGGTGAGAGACAGGTAGAGACAGGTCAGAGACAGGTGGGAGACAGGTAGAGACAGGTAGAGACAGGTAGAGACAGGTGAGAGACAGGTAGAGACAGGTCAGAGACAGGTGGGAGACAGGTAGAGACAGGTGAGAGACAGGTGAGAGACAGGTGAGAGACAGGTAGAGACAGGTCAGAGACAGGTGGGAGACAGGTAGAGACAGGTAGAGACAGGTGAGAGACAGGTGAGAGACAGGTAGAGACAGGTGAGAGACAGGTAGAGACAGGTGAGAGACAGGTAGAGACAGGTCAGAGATAGGTGGGAGACAGGTAGAGACAGGCCAGAGACAGGTGAGAGACAGGTGAGAGACAGGTAGAGACAGGTAGAGACAGGTGAGAGACAGGTCAGAGACAGGTGGGAGACAGGTAGAGACAGGTCAGAGACAGGTAGAGACAGGTGAGAGACAGGTGAGAGACAGGTAGAGACAGGTGAGAGACAGGTAGAGACAGGTGAGAGACAGGTAGAGACAGGTAGAGACAGGTGAGAGACAGGTGAGAGACAGGTAGAGACAGGTAGAGACAGGGTAGAGACAGGTCAGAGACAGGTGAGAGACAGGTAGAGACAGGTGAGAGACAGGTAGAGACAGGTAGAGACAGGTGAGAGACAGGTAGAGACAGGTGAGAGACAGGTGAGAGACAGGTAGAGACAGGTAGAGACAGGTAGAGACAGGTAGAGACAGGTCAGAGACAGGTGAGAGACAGGTAGAGACAGGTAGAGACAGGTAGAGACAGGTAGAGACAGGTGAGAGACAGGTGAGAGACAGGTAGAGACAGGTGAGAGACAGGTAGAGACAGGTGAGAGACAGGTAGAGACAGGTCAGAGATAGGTGAGAGACAGGTGAGAGACAGGTAGAGACAGGTCAGAGACAGGTAGAGACAGGTAGAGACAGGTAGAGACAGGTCAGAGACAGGTAGAGACAGGTAGAGACAGGTCAGAGACAGGTAGAGACAGGTAGAGACAGGTTGAGACAGGTGAGAGACAGGTAGAGACAGGTCAGAGACATGTGAGAGACAGGTGAGAGACAGGTAGAGACAGGTGGGAGACAGGTAGAGACAGGTTGAGACAGGTGGGAGACAGGTGAGAGACGGGTGAGAGACAGGTGGGAGACAGGTAGAGACAGGTTGAGACAGGTGAGAGACAGGTGGGAGACAGGTAGAGACAGGTCAGAGACAGGTAGAGACAGGTAGAGACAGGTGAGAGACAGGTGAGAGACAGGTGGGAGACAGGTAGAGACAGGTCAGAGACAGGTGAGAGACAGGTAGAGACAGGTAGAGACAGGTCAGAGACAGGTGGGAGACAGGTAGAGACAGGTCAGAGACAGGTCAGAGACAGGTGGGAGACAGGTAGAGACAGGTGAGAGACAGGTGAGAGACAGGTGAGAGACAGGTAGAGACAGGTAGAGACAGGTAGAGACAGGTGAGAGACAGGTAGAGACAGGTGAGAGACAGGTAGAGACAGGTCAGAGATAGGTGAGAGACAGGTAGAGACAGGTAGAGACAGGTGAGAGACAGGTAGAGACAGGTGAGAGACAGGTGAGAGACAGGTAGAGACAGGTAGAGACAGGTCAGAGACAGGTAGAGACAGGTGAGAGACAGGTAGAGACAGGTAGAGACAGGTGAGAGACAGGTAGAGACAGGTGAGAGACAGGTGAGAGACAGGTGAGAGACAGGTGAGAGACAGGTAGAGACAGGTCAGAGACAGGTGAGAGACAGGTAGAGACAGGTGAGAGACAGGTAGAGACAGGTAGAGACAGGTGAGAGACAGTTAGAGACAGGTGAGAGACAGGTAGAGACAGGTGAGAGACAGGTAGAGACAGGTAGAGACAGGTGAGAGACAGGTGAGAGACATGTAGAGACAGGTGAGAGACATGTAGAGACAGGTGAGAGACAGGTAGAGACAGGTGAGAGACAGGTAGAGACAGGTCAGAGACAGGTGGGAGACAGGTGGGAGACAGGTGAGAGACAGGTGAGAGACAGGTAGAGACAGGTCAGAGACAGGTGAGAGACAGGTGGGAGACAGGTGAGAGACAGGTAGAGACAGGTGAGAGACAGGTCAGAGACAGGTAGAGACAGGTAGAGACAGGTGAGAGACAGGTAGAGACAGGTCAGAGACAGGTGGGAGACAGGTGAGAGACAGGTAGAGACAGGTGGGAGACAGGTGAGAGACAGGTGAGAGACAGGTAGAGACAGGTCAGAGAGAGGTGAGAGACAGGTAGAGACAGGTAGAGATAGGTCAGAGACAGGTGGGAGACAGGTAGAGACAGGTGAGAGACAGGTGAGAGAAAGGTAGAGACAGGTAGAGACAGGTGAGAGACAGGTAGAGACAGGTGAGAGACAGGTAGAGACAGGTGAGAGACAGGTGAGAGACAGGTGGGAGACAGGTAGAGACAGGTAGAGACAGGTAGAGACAGGTGAGAGACAGGTAGAGATAGGTCAGAGACAGGTAGAGACAGGTAGAGACAGGTAGAGACAGGTGAGAGACAGGTAGAGACAGGTGAGAGACAGGTGAGAGACAGGTCAGAGACAGGTAGAGACAGGTGAGAGACAGGTAGAGACAGGTCAGAGACAGGTGAGAGACAGGTAGAGACAGGTGAGAGACAGGTGAGAGACAGGTAGAGACAGGTGGGAGACAGGTGAGAGACAGGTCAGAGACAGGTAGAGACAGGTGAGAGACAGGTGAGAGACAGGTGAGAGACAGGTAGAGACAGGTGAGAGACAGGTAGAGACAGGTGGGAGACAGGTGGGAGACAGGTGAGAGACAGGTAGAGACAGGTAGAGACAGGTGAGAGACAGGTGAGAGACAGGTGAGAGACAGGTCAGAGACAGGTGAGAGACAGGTAGAGACAGGTGAGAGACAGGTAGAGACAGGTGAGAGACAGGTGAGAGACAGGTGAGAGACAGGTGAGAGACAGGTCAGAGACAGGTGAGAGACAGGTAGAGACAGGTGAGAGACAGGTGAGAGACAGGTGAGAGACAGGTCAGAGACAGGTGAGAGACAGGTGAGAGACAGGTAGAGACAGGTCAGAGACAGGTGAGAGACAGGTAGAGATAGGTCAGAGACAGGTGAGAGACAGGTGGGAGACAGGTAGAGACAGGTGAGAGACAGGTGAGAGAAAGGTAGAGACAGGTAGAGACAGGTGAGAGACAGGTAGAGACAGGTGAGAGACAGGTCAGAGACATGTGAGAGACAGGTGGGAGACAGGTGGGAGACAGGTAGAGACAGGTGAGAGACAGGTAGAGATAGGTCAGAGACAGGTAGAGACAGGTGGGAGACAGGTGAGAGACAGGTCAGAGACAGGTAGAGACAGGTGAGAGACAGGTGAGAGACAGGTAGAGACAGGTGAGAGACAGGTAGAGACAGGTCAGAGACAGGTGAGAGACAGGTGGGAGACAGGTGAGAGACAGGTGAGAGACAGGTGGGAGACAGGTGGGAGAGACAGGTAGAGACAGGTAGAGACAGGTCAGAGACAGGTGAGAGACAGGTAGAGACAGGTAGAGATAGGTCAGAGACAGGTGAGAGACAGGTGGGAGACAGGTAGAGACAGGTCAGAGACAGGTAGAGACAGGTAGAGACAGGTCAGAGACAGGTCAGAGACAGGTAGAGACAGGTAGAGACAGGTAAAGACAGGTAGAGACAGGTGAGAGACAGGTAGAGACGGGTAGAGACAGGTGAGAGACAGGTAGAGACAGGTGAGAGACAGGTGAGAGAGACAGGTAGAGACAGGTCAGAGACAGGTGAGAGACAGGTAGAGACAGGTGAGAGATAGGTAGAGACAGGTCAGAAACAGGTGAGAGACAGGTAGAGACAGGTGAGAGACAGGTAGAGACAGGTAGAGACAGGTGAGAGACAGGTAGAGATAGGTAGAGACAGGTGAGAGACAGGTGAGAGACAGGTAGAGACAGGTGAGAGACAGGTAGAGATAGGTAGAGACAGGTGAGAGATAGGTAGAGACAGGTGAGAGACAGGTAGAGACAGGTGAGAGACAGGTAGAGACAGGTGAGAGACAGGTAGAGACAGGTGAGAGACAGGTAGAGACAGGTAGAGACAGGTGAGAGACAGGTAGAGACAGGTGAGAGACAGGTAGAGATAGGTAGAGACAGGTGAGAGACATGTAGAGACAGGTCAGAGACAGGTGAGAGACAGGTAGAGACAGGTCAGAGACAGGTAGAGACAGGTGAGAGACAGGTGAGAGACAGGTGAGAGACATGTGAGAGACAGGTCAGAGACAGGTAGAGACAGGTAGAGACAGGTGAGAGACAGGTAGAGACAGGTAGAGACAGGTAGAGACAGGTGAGAGACATGTGAGAGACAGGTCGAGACAGGTGAGAGACAGGTAGAGACAGGTAGAGACAGGTAGAGACAGGTGAGAGACAGGTAGAGACAGGTGAGAGACAGGTAGAGGACAGGTGAGAGACAGGTAGAGACAGGTAGAGACAGGTGAGAGACAGGTGAGAGACAGGTAGAGACAGGTGAGAGACAGGTGAGAGACATGTGAGAGACAGGTAGAGACAGGTGAGAGACAGGTAGAGACAGGTGAGAGACAGGTAGAGACAGGTATAGACGGGTAGAGACAGGTAGAGACAGGTAGGGAGACCCTTTTCCACTGAACCGGTTCTTAGCTAACCCCACTCGGCTGCCCGGCAAGAACCAAGAAGCAAGAACCTATACTTCACTCTACATCGGAGGGGTCGAGATTAACCTGAGCAATAACAGTTAATGGCGAGTACGGCAAATACAAGTTGTAACAAGTAGTAGCGCCGAGCAAAGTGACTAGAACGCAACCACACACTTACTGACACACATTCACTTGGGGAATTGGGGATATGTATCAGCTGCTTGTGTGACAGTCAGACAGTGAAGACTTTACAGCGGCCGCTGCCGTGTGAGCTAACGGGAGAATAAACTCTGCCGTGAGCTAACGGGAGAATAAACTCTGCCGTGAGCTAACGGGAGAATAAACTCTGCCGTGAGCTAACGGGAGAATAAACTCTGCCGTGAGCTAACGGGAGAATAAACTCTGCCGTGAGCTAACGGGAGAATAAACTCTCCCGTGAGCTAACGGGAGAATAAACTCCGGTGGACGAGCGGCACTGCAGCGGTCAGTAAATGCCGCTGAACCACATTAATAAACATTGAACCACAGGGTTCTGCTAAAGGACCAGGAGTGTTCTAGAGTTCTATATAATGTTCTCACGGGGATGTGCTGCAGGCTCAGCTGCTCCGGGCAGCCGCTGGCTTCACTGCGACAGAACACCTTCAGCGCCATGATCTCCCGATGGCAGCAAACGTCTCTGAAGATCTGAGACAAACAGAGCGTCAGAAACTGAAGCATTCATGACCTTAACTCTTAATAAATAAAGAATAATTCATAATTAATACATAATAAAGAATAATTAATTTATAATAATTAATAAAAAGAAAGAATAATTCATAATAAGTGAAGAATATAGAAGTGCTCACCTTGTCTTTGAACAGCAGCTCTCTGTCTGCTGGACATGATGGGTTAGGGTGACTGCAGAGAACACAGAGTTACTGAAGACCCTGAACACACCTTTCATTATAATAATAAACAAATGCATAATAAAACAATAAAAAGTAATAATGAAATAATAATAATAATAATAATAATAAAGAGAATAATAGTATTTATAATAAGGTGTTATGACTCCCAGTACCTGAGCAGGTCGCTGATGCAGCTCTGGCAGAACCAATAATGATAATAAAGATAATAATAATATATATATAATATTTAGTACCTCAGTGGCCTGTACTCTGAATCCAGTCCAACAGACCCTGGACATCTCTGAGTTATCTTAACTAACCCTAACAAAAAGATCTCGCTAAGCGATCCTATGACGCTGGTTATCAACTCGGTAACTCAAGCCAGGGTGTCTCTGTCCGGCTGAGTGTGCGTTCACATGAAAGGGGCGGGGCTAGCAACATTTGACCAATCACAAACATGGAGAAGCTACTGACAGCGCAGCGTCATACTTCCTGAATGAAAAGTCAACTATAATATTAGACATATGAAGAAGTTAAACTTTAAACATCCATGACTTAAACACTTGATCCAGGATCAAAGCCACAGAGCTGCACCTGCAAGGTGAACACAGCTGGGAACAGAACAAGTGTTTGAATGTGTACATTAACAGCTTTATGATATCACTGCCCGTCTAAGACACCGTCTGACTTTCATTACATTTGACTCCAGTGTTTCCTCAACTTAATGTGTTTTGCATGTGACACGTCGGCGTCTTCCCTGCATACGGCAGTTTAAACTGTATTTCCTTTATCCTGTAATAATCCTTCAAGGTTGTGTCTTCCTGGTCGAATGTACTTATTGTAAGTCGCTTTGGATAAAAGCGTCAGCTAAATGCAATGTAATGTAATATGACTTGATAGCTTTAAACTCCACACGCTGAACTCTGATTGGTCAGCAGAAGGTACTTTCACTGAGTTGATCTCTTATCTGGAACCTGCTCCGGAGAAGGTTAGGTGTTCAGCATCAGTTACCATTGAGATCTACCCCGGTAAGAAGAGAACCAGAGTCGTAGGACCGGAAACTCAGAGTTAACCCTGAAGTTGCCTCTCTAACCCAGAGTTAACCTGAAGTTACCTCTCTAACTCAGTGTTTACCCTGAAGTTACCTCTCTAACTCAGATTTAACCTGAAGTTACCTCTCTAACTCAGAGTTAACCTGAAGTTACCTCTCTAACTCAGAGTTAACCTGAAGTTACCTCTCTAACTCAGATTTAACCTGAAGTTACCTCTCTAACTCAGAGTTAACCTGAAGTTACCTCTCTAACTCAGAGTTAACCTGAAGTTACCTCTCTAACCCAGAGTTAACCTGAAGTTACCTCTCTAACTCAGATTTAACCTGAAGTTACCTCTCTAACTCAGAGTTAACCTGAAGTTACCTCTCTAACTCAGAGTTAACCCTGAAGTTACCTCTCTAACCCAGAATTAACCTGAAGTTACCTCTCTAACTCAGAGTTAACCTGAAGTTACCTCTCTAACTCAGAGTTAACCCTGAAGTTACCTCTCTAACCCAGAGTTAACCTGAAGTTACCTCTCTAACTCAGAGTTAACCTGAAGTTACCTCTCTAACTCAGAGTTAACCTGAAGTTACCTCTCTAACTCAGAGTTAACCCTAAAGTTACCTCTCTAACCCAGAGTTAACCTGAAGTTACCTCTCTAACTCAGAGTTAACCTGAAGTTACCTCTCTAACCCAGAGTTAACCTGAAGTTACCTCTCTAACCCAGTGTTTACCCTGAAGTTACCTCTCTAACCCAGTTAACCTGAAGTTACCTCTCTAACTCAGAGTTAACCTGAAGTTACCTCTCTAACCCAGAGTTAACCTGAAGTTACCTCTCTAACCCAGAGTTAACCTGAAGTTACCTCTCTAACCCAGAGTTAACCTGAAGTTACCTCTCTAACCCAGAGTTAACCCTGAAGTTACCTCTCTAACCCAGAGTTAACCCTGAAGTTACCTCTCTAACCCAGAGTTAACCCTGAAGTTACCTCTCTTACCCATAGTTAACCCTGAAGTTACCTTTCTAACCCAGAGTTAACCTGAAGTTACCTCTCTAACTCAGAGTTAACCTGAAGTTACCTCTCTAACCCAGAGTTAACCTGAAGTTACCTCTCTAACTCAGAGTTAACCTGAAGTTACCTCTCTAACTCAGATTTAACCTGAAGTTACCTCTCTAACTCAGAGTTAACCTGAAGTTACCTCTCTAACTCAGAGTTAACCTGAAGTTACCTCTCTAACCCAGAGTTAACCTGAAGTTACCTCTCTAACTCAGATTTAACCTGAAGTTACCTCTCTAACTCAGAGTTAACCTGAAGTTACCTCTCTAACTCAGAGTTAACCCTGAAGTTACCTCTCTAACCCAGAGTTAACCTGAAGTTACCTCTCTAACTCAGAGTTAACCTGAAGTTACCTCTCTAACTCAGAGTTAACCCTGAAGTTACCTCTCTAACCCAGAGTTAACATGAAGTTACCTCTCTAACTCAGAGTTAACCTGAAGTTACCTCTCTAACTCAGAGTTAACCTGAAGTTACCTCTCTAACTCAGAGTTAACCCTAAAGTTACCTCTCTAACCCAGAGTTAACCTGAAGTTACCTCTCTAACTCAGAGTTAACCTGAAGTTACCTCTCTAACCCAGAGTTAACCTGAAGTTACCTCTCTAACCCAGTGTTTACCCTGAAGTTACCTCTCTAACCCAGTTAACCTGAAGTTACCTCTCTAACTCAGAGTTAACCTGAAGTTACCTCTCTAACCCAGAGTTAACCTGAAGTTACCTCTCTAACCCAGAGTTAACCTGAAGTTACCTCTCTAACCCAGAGTTAACCCTGAAGTTACCTCTCTAACCCAGAGTTAACCCTGAAGTTACCTCTCTAACCCAGAGTTAACCCTGAAGTTACCTCTCTTACCCATAGTTAACCCTGAAGTTACCTTTCTAACCCAGAGTTAACCTGAAGTTACCTCTCTAACTCAGAGTTAACCTGAAGTTACCTCTCTAACCCAGAGTTAACCTGAAGTTACCTCTCTAACTCAGAGTTAACCTGAAGTTACCTCTCTAACCCAGAGTTAACCCTGAAGTTACCTCTCTAACCCAGAGTTAACCTGAAGTTACCTCTCTAACTCAGAGTTAACCTGAAGTTACCTCTCTAACCCAGAGTTAACCTGAAGTTACCTCTCTAACTCAGAGTTAACCTGAAGTTACCTCTCTAACTCAGAGTTAACCTGAAGTTACCTCTCTAACCCAGAGTTAACCTGAAGTTACCTCTCTAACCCAGAGTTAACCTGAAGTTACCTCTCTAACCCAGAGTTAACCTGAAGTTACCTCTCTAACTCAGAGTTAACCTGAAGTTACCTCTCTAACTCAGAGTTAACCTGAAGTTACCTCTCTAACCCAGAGTTAACCTGAAGTTACCTCTCTAACTCAGAGTTAACCTGAAGTTACCTCTCTAACCCAGAGTTAACCTGAAGTTACCTCTCTAACCCAGAGTTAACCTGAAGTTACCTCTCTAACTCAGAGTTAACCTGAAGTTACCTCTCTAACCCAGAGTTAACCTGAAGTTACCTCTCTAACTCAGAGTTAACCTGAAGTTACCTCTCTAACCCAGAGTTAACCCTGAAGAATATTTAGTACCTCAGGAGGTCACTGATGCAGCTCTGGCAGAACCGATGTCCGCACTCTGTCTGCCTCGGCTGGCACAGAACCAGCCTGCAGGCCTCGCAGCAGTATTTGGGTTCTGGCGGTTCCACAAAGTGGTCCCTGAACCCCCCGTGGAGCGGGAGGAACCCTGCAGGAGAACCTGAACACAGAGGGAGTGGGGCGTTAATACAGAGGGGGGGGGGGGGGGGCGTGAACACCTTCATTGAATCACATCCGGCTGATATCACAGCGCAGTTTACCTTGAGAGGAGGCGGGGTCGCTCGGAGGCCAGGGATTGGCCTGCCGGTTAGGGGGCTGGACCACGGAGAGGGGCGTGGTCAGGGAGGGCGCCACCTGCTGGAGGGGAAGCTGCACCTCCCGCCCCCCCGACATGACCTGAGAGACATATCAATCACCTTTGACCTCAAGAACAATAATAATAATAACAATAATAATAATAACAATAATAATAATACATGTTATTTATATAGCGCTTTTCCTGCTGCTCAGAGCGCTTTATAAAGAATAACATCTGGGGCTCAAAGGGACCGAGGCAGATAAGAAATAGAGCTTTATCTCAGAACAGCTGATCACTGTTTCCTCTCAACTGAAAGTGAATGCAGTCTCTGTGGTGCGTTCAGAGACCTCTCTGTGGTGCGTTCAGGGACCTCTCTTACCTCATTCACACCAACGGTGTTTCAGGGCCGGTTCGGAGCTGGAGCTTGAAAAGCACCGGGTTTTCCTGTTCACACCGCAGCGGAACCGCCTCTTAGCTCCGGAATCCGGTTCGTTTCAAGCACCAAAAAATTGTCCGGCTGGAGCAAAAGCACCGCATACGTCACGCTGACGTCGAGGCGGGGGCATAGACAGATCAACTCCTGAACTACAACAAAAAGCCCGTGTTTTATCCAGTTTGTACACAACGATGGAGAAACTTAACAAGCAGCAGTGGTCCACTGAGGAGACCAGCTACCTGCTGGGGATCTGGTCTTCTGAAGAGGTACAGAGGAAGCTGGAGCACAATCGGCCATTGTTGTTGTTGTCGGTGTCAGTTGTGAGGGGTTTCCGCGTGGGTTGGCTTTATGAAGCAGGCACGCAAACGGTTACGTCATGACGCAAACGATGACGCAATGATGCAGCACCAGTCGGACTCTGGGCGGTGTGAAAAGACCCGGAGCTAAACCGAAGAACCGGTTCTGAACCTGAAAAGCTCTAGCACGGAGATTGAACCGGAGTTGCGTTGGTGTGAATGAGGTATCTGTGGTGCGTTCAGGGACCTCTATGTGGTGTGTTCAGGGACCTCTCTGTGGTGCATTCAGGGACCTCTATGTGGTGCGTTCAGGGACCTCTCTGTGGTGCGTTCAGGGACCTCTATTACCCCCTTTCCCACCAAGGCTTTTCCCATTCTAGCTCCGTGCTAGAGCTTTTCTGGTTCGGAACCGGTTCTTCGGTTTAGCTCCCGCTCTGTTCACACCGCTCAGAGCCTGACTGGTGCTGCGTCATTGCGTCATCGTTTGCGTCATGACGTAACCGTTTGCATGCCCGCTTCATAAAGCCAACCCGCGCGGAAACCCCTCACAGCTCACACTGACAACAACAATGACCGATTGTATTGAAGCGCTACTCGTTTTGCTCTGTCGAAACGAAATGGAAGAAATGGGATGACTTTACTACCAACTTTACAGTCGTTACATGCTACATTCAAAAGTTCTTTACAATCATCATCATCAACTTCAACGACGATTCCGTAGGAGAAAGAAGGTATTATACGTCCTATTCGATGGCGTTAGAGCTAGCTGCTGTTAGCCTCTGCATGCGCCAAGCTCAACATACCCAGCTTTGCAGCATTAATTACTTTGGTATAACATTACAACTGATTCTCAATGTTATTTCCACAGATCATGTTGAAGCTGGCGGAAAAGCGGGTGTCGCGTGTTATTTGGACACAGCCCAGATCCAACGTAAGCGTGACGTATGCGGTGCTTGCTTTCTAGACCGACAACATTTTGGTGCTTGAAACTAACCGGATTCCGGAGCTTAGAGGCGGCTCCGCTGCGGTGTGAACAGGAACAACCGGTGCTTTTCAAGCTCCAGCTCCGAACCGGCCCTGGAACCGCGTTGGTGTGAAAGGGGCATATGTGGTGCTTTCAGGGACCTCTCTGTGGTGCTTTCAGGGACCTCAGACTGTGGTGCGTTCAGGGACCTCTCTGTGGTGCGTTCAGGGACCTCTCTGTGGTGCTTTCAGGGACCTCAGACTGTGGTGCGTTTAGGGACCTATATGTGGTGCGTTCAGGGACCTCTCTGTGATATTCAGCAGAAATAAATGATTTTCAAAGTAAAATATTGACTTTATTTGTTTGTAATTATAATAATGATAAACAACAATAAGTCCAAATGTATTGATGTATTGAATAAGCATCTGAAACCCTGAGGAGAGTTAGTCATATGAAGCTTTAAACAGGGCGGATCACTCCTACCAGACAACACTCATTTGAATATTAATATCAATATAAATATTAAAATATGAGTGATCTGTGGAGATTGATCTGGGCTTGATTTCTCAGGTCTGACTGATTATCGATCTCTAATGTAAACACTGATGCTAACTGTTAGCTTCTTGTTTCTCTGCTTTATGTTCAATAAACATCATTTAGTTCACACACATTATGCTCTATACTTCATGTCAATATTGATGTATTTTAATGTTAGAATCATTTTATTAAAATGGTTTTTAGAACGGTTTTATGTTTGAGTTATTTCTCTATTTATCTTCTGTTTTGCACCAAATACACCAAGGATAGACCTGCTGGGCTATAACCCCGGTTCTGGTCCTGGTCCTGACACACAGTAGCCTCTGTGGAGCTAACGCTGAGCTAACAGTTCTGAGGTGCTGAGGGGTCTGAGGTTCTGAGGGGTCTGAGGGTTCTGAGGGCTCTGACTTACATGAAGTTCCTCCGCTCGGCTCTCTGTCCCCGGGATTCAGACCGTCTCCCCGCCGCGGAGCCTCCGGGCCGGGGGCGGGCTCCTCATGGTCCTGGTTCTAAGGTCCGGGTCCTGCTTCTGCTGTCCGGGTCCTGGTTCTGTTTGTCCGGGTTCAGTCGCTGCTCCTCAGCCTGAGAGATCCAGCAGCTCTGATCACTGGAAACCCCCTCTGCTGCTTCCGCCCAGGAAATCCCCTCTGCAGCTGCAGTACTCAGAGCCTCCTCCATGGGGCACTGTGACCTCTGCAGCTGCAGTACTCAGAGCCTCCTCCAGGGGGTGCTGTGACCTCTGCAGCTGCAGTACTCAGAGCCTATTTATATAACTGTATCTATATATAAAAATATTTAAATATAAAAAAAATGTACATATGAACTTTTTCCACTCTTAATGTTTATTAAGTATTATTACTAAATATAAATAATAAATTATTATTTATACAAAGAAGCGTTTTCTTTTTAATCTCTCTCTCTCCTTTTTGTCATTGTTGGAGAAATCAGCTTAAAACAACATATTGATGTTTATGTAGTGATGCGTGAAGGAAGAGCAGAAACTGCAGAAGAAGAAGGAAATTATTTTATTGAACTTTGGTTTTATGTTCCTGCCCTGAGTGACCAACCCCCCCCCCCACACACACACACACACACACACACACACAGATTAAAATCAGGCCACGCCCACTCCGAGTGACAGGTCCGGTTTCTGATTGGTCCACAGAGAGACGACAGGTAACCCACCTGACCAATAACTGCAGCATCAAGTATAAAATAAAACTAATTAAATACAGGAGACGAAATGTATATAAAATAAAATGAGGGGCGGAGTCAGAGTCACGAGGCCAGGGGCTTCTGGGAGTCGGAGTCCTGAGGAGAAGAGACGCATTAGGAACCAGCAGAGTATATGTCTTTAGACTCTGAGGATTCTGGGATATGTAGTCTAACCTGCTTTGTGTCAGCGACCTCCTCATCCTCAGCAGGACTCTCCTCCATCTTGTCCTCCTCCTCGGCCCCACCCCCATCTGCCACGCCCCCATCAACCACGCCCCCCTCCAGCCCATGCTCCGCCTCCCACTCCTGCAGAACCTCGTCCAGGTTGAACCTTCGTCTGTAGTTCACCAGGAAGTTCTTCACCTGCACCACCGACTTGTTTCCAATCACATCGGAGATGGCCTGGAAGTCCCGCCCATACTTCCTGATGGCTGTGTGTGATTGGACAAGAAAGAGGGTCACTGACCAATCACTGAGGGAGAGGGTTAATCAGTACAGGTGTTCCAGGTGTGTTCCAGGTGTGTTCCAGGTGTTACCTTGTACAGCGAGCAGCTGCTCCTCCGTCGTCCAGCGGGTGTTAAACTTCTGATTCACCTGAAACAACAACAACAACAACATGAACAGCTGTTTTTACTCTACAGAAACCTGGTCTGGGTCTGATCAGCTGACCTCTGAACAGCTGGGTTGCAGTCGAATAGTCCAAAAATCAGCTCCTATCGTCTGACCCTATCGTCTATCCCTAAAGTCTATCATCTGTCCCTAAAGTCTATCCCTAAAGTCTATCGTCTGTCCCTAACGTATATCGTCTATCCCTATCGTCTGTCCCTAACATCTGTCCCTATCATCTGTCCCTAACGTCTGTCCCTAACGTCTGTCCCTATCATCTGTCCCTATCGTCTGTCCCTAACGTCTGTCCCTAACGTCTATCCCTAACGTCTATCGTCTGTCCCTAACGTATATCATCTGTCCCTAACGTCTATCCCTATCGTCTATCGTCTGTCCCTAACGTCTGTCCCTATCGTCTGTCCCTAACGTCTATCCCTATCGTCTATCGTCTGTCCCTAACGTCTGTCCCTATCGTCTGTCCCTAACGTCTGTCCCTATCGTCTGTCCCTATCGTCTGTCCCTAACGTCTGTCCCTATCGTCTGTCCCTAACGTCTATCGTCTGTCCCTAACGTCTGTCCCTATCGTCTGTCCCTATCGTCTATCGTCTGTACCTATCGTCTATCGTCTGTCCCTATCGTCTACCCCTATCGTCTATCCCTAACGTCTATCCCTTGACCTCTGAGTTAAAGGTCACGGGGTTAAGGGATAGTGGATAGGAGAATTCAAAAGGACTTAGGAGAAGAGACTGTGGTACTTTAGAGAATCGACTGCACTTTCACTATCCGACGTGTTTATGATGCGCCAGCGGACGTCCTGAATGTGCGTCTGCTGCTGTGGGGAAACTATGGAAACTACAGTTCTCTATACAGCGGACTACAACATGGATGTTCAATAAGAACGAGGGACTCCTGTGAACTCATCTAGACACTCTGCACCGTGCTCTGATGCTGCTGCTTTATGCTTTATGAACGTGGACAACAGAGAAACATATTCTTCAGGACCAAAGCTGGAATTGAAATAAAAAAGGAAAGTGAAACTTCTGCTCGTCACCAGGGACGGACTGGGGAGAAAAAGTGGCCCGGGGATTAATTAACAGACAGGCCTTTTAATGCACGGCATGTATCGGCCGGCCGGCCAGCGACAAAAGTATGTTACTTAACAAAAACCCCTATGCATTTGATGTTATTCTGGACCATTATTCATATAGTCATCACATTACCTGAACCCTTGAGTTGCCTAGCAAAATAGTTACAGCATATATTTAGTGATTTAAATGTTAACAGATCTTTGAAGCAATAACATCTGGACCCAATTTGCCTGACTTGACGCATGGAATAAAACATGGGCGTAGGAAGCATCCTCAATGTGGGTGAGACAATTTAACAGGGGGTGTGGGCAGGTGGTGGACCTCACCTCCTCTAGGAGGGTCCGGGGGCAAGCTCCCCCGCGAAGATTTTTTTTTTAAATGTTGAAGTTAAATGCATCAATCTGGTCCATTTTGAGAGCAAAATTAGGGACTAAATCTATGGATACATCCATATGAAACAGAACTGTTAACAGATTTACTTTTTCTTTCAACATTTATTTGAACAGCAAGTGGAGGCAAAAGTGACTGCACCCAAAACAATAAACCTGCTAGCTAACTAGCCTACACTCAGTAACAGAATGTGGGCAAAACCCCTCCAGGGAGTGGCCGGAACACTTACAAATGTGGACCGGTTGGATTTAGGCAACAAAAAACCAAAACCAAAAATATTTTTTATTTTTTTGGCCCTCCGGCCCACGCACAGCACCGGCCCACCGGCAAAACTCCCGGTATTCCCAATGGCCAGTCCGCCCCTGCTCGTCCCCCTCTCCCTCCGGTCCACATTAATACAAATGATCCCAATACGTATGATTGATGAAAAGATCTTAAAATCAATACCGATGTATTTATTATAAACGTTAGTCCTTAACATCTATCACTGTGTATATCACCATTCAAACATCTTTTAAAAGTTGAACAAACCCCACAGCTCAGTGAAGACTGTGAGATGTTGACTTTATTTGATCATTTCAGTAAAAACTAACGTTCATATTTCTCTCTTTGATTATAATACTGATGAACGTTCAGAACAAAGCACTTTGGCAACTTACCACATACGTTTTAAAAAGCTTAATAAGCACCGTAACTTTCATGATATCATTTCTCCGTCATAATCGGTTGTTTCCGTGAACGGCCGACTGTTGTATGACGGCAAATGCTGCGGCTGCAATGCATTGTGGGGCAGCATTTTCTCCTCTCCTTTCGGTGAGGGAGGTCCAGTGGTTCCTAAGCTAAAGGAGGCTATAAAGGAAGTTTGAAACCTCCTTTCCTTTCATTTAGAGAATTGGAACGGCACTTATCATGGCTGCCACTGAGGGACTTCCGGGTCATTTCACTCCGTTAGGAAGGTTCCTAAGCTAAATGGACTATTCGACTGCAACCCTGATCTCTGTTGTTTCCCCGACTCAGACTGCAAGGAATCTGGGTGTGACCCTAGATAACAACCTGTCCTTCACTGCAAACATCGCTGCTACAACCCGCTGCTGCAGATACACGCTTTACAACATCAGGAGGATGCGTCCCCAGCTGACCCAGAAAGCCACGCAGGTTCTGGTCCAGGCTCTCGTCATCTCACGCCTAGACTACTGCAACTCCCTCCTGGCTGGTCTACCTGCATGTGCCATCCGACCTCTGCAGCTCATCCAGAATGCAGCGGCTCGTCTGGTCTTCAACCTTCCTAAATTTTCACACACCACTCCGCTCCTCCACTGCCTTCACTGGCTTCCGGTAACTGCTAGAATCCACTTCAAGACACTGGTACTTGCTTACCATGCTGCGAATGGATCTGGCCCTTCCTACATCCAGGACATAGTTAAACCGTACACCCCAGCACTTGCACTCCGCTCTGCATCAGCCAAACGACTCGTTGCGTCCTCGCTGCGAGGGGGACCCAAGTTCCCATCAGCAGAAACACGTGGGTTTGCTATCCTGGCTCCAAGATGGTGGAATGAGCTCCCCATTGACATCAGGACAGCAGATAGCTTACACACCTTCCAGACTGAAAACTCATCTCTTTCGACTCCACTTCCAGCGATAGAACTATTAACAAAACACTTATATACTAATAAAGGGCTGGCTTATCTAAAGCCAGTTGAGTAGCACTTGAAATGTTTGGCTCTATGAAACCTGATGTACTTATATGATTCTGTTTTCTTCAAGGTTGTGTCTTCCTGGTCGAATGTACTTATTGTAAGTCGCTTTGGATAAAAGCGTCAGCTAAATGCAATGTAATGTAATGTAATGAACAGCTGACCTCTGAACAACTGATCTACTCTCTGAACAGCTGATCTACTCTCTGAACAGCTGATCTCTGAACAGCTGATCTACTCTCTGAACAGCTGATCTACTCTCTGAACAGCTGATCTCTGAACAGCTGATCTACTCTCTGAACAGTTGATCTACTCTCTGAACAGCTGATCTCTGAACAGCTGATCTACTCCCTGAACAGTTGATCTACTCTCTGAACAGCTGATCTACTCTCTGAACAGTTGATCGACTCTCTGAACAGCTGATCTACTCTCTGAACAGCTGATCTACTCCCTGAACAGTTGATCTACTCTCTGAACAGCTGATCTCTGAACAGCTGATCTACTCCCTGAACAGTTGATCTACTCTCTGAACAGCTGATCTACTCTCTGAACAGCTGATCTACTCCCTGAACAGTTGATCTACTCTCTGAACAGCTGATCTCTGAACAGCTGATCTACTCCCTGAACAGTTGATCTACTCTCTGAACAGCTGATCTACTCTCTGAACAGTTGATCTACTCCCTGAACAGCTGACCTCTGAACAGCTGATCTACTCTCTGAACAGCTGATCAGCTGATCTACACTCTGAACAGCTGATCTCTGAACAGCTGATCTACTCTCTGAACAGCTGATCTCTGAACAGCTGATCTACTCTCTGAACAGCTGATCTACTCTCTGAACAGCTGATCTCTGAACAGCTGATCTACTCTCTGAACAGCTGATCTCTGAACAGCTGATATACTCTCTGAACAGCTGATCTCTGAACAGCTGATCTACTCTCTGAACAGCTGATCTCTGAACAGCTGATCTACTCTCTGAACAGCTGATCTACTCTCTGAACAGCTGATCTCTGAACAGCTGATCTACTCTCTGAACAGCTGATCTACTCTCTGAACAGCTGGACCTCTGAACAGCTGACCTCTGAACAGCTGATCTACTCTCTGAACAGCTGATCTCTGAACAGCTGATCTACTCTCTGATCAGCTGATCTCTGAACAGCTGACCTACTCTCTGAACAGCTGATCTCTGAACAGCTGATCTACTCTCTGATCAGCTGATCTCTGAACAGCTGACCTCTGAACAGCTGATCTACTCTCTGAACAGCTGACCTCTGAACAGCTGATCTACTCTCTGAACAGCTGATCTCTGAACAGCTGATCTACTCTCTGATCAGCTGATCTCTGAACAGCTGATCTACTCTCTGATCAGCTGATCTCTGAACAGCTGACCTCTGAACAGCTGATCTACTCTCTGAACAGCTGATCTCTGAACAGCTGATCTACTCTCTGAACAGCTGATCTCTGAACAGCTGATATACTCTCTGAACAGCTGATCTCTGAACAGCTGATCTACTCTCTGAACAGCTGATCTCTGAACAGCTGATCTACTCTCTGAACAGCTGATCTCTGAACAGCTGATCTACTCTCTGAACAGCTGATCTACTCTCTGAACAGCTGGACCTCTGAACAGCTGACCTCTGAACAGCTGATCTCTGAACAGCTGATCTACTCTCTGAACAGCTGATCTACTGACCTACTCTCTGAACAGCTGATCTCTGAACAGCTGATCTACTCTCTGATCAGCTGATCTCTGAACAGCTGATCTACTCTCTGATCAGCTGATCTCTGAACAGCTGACCTCTGAACAGCTGATCTACTCTCTGAACAGCTGACCTCTGAACAGCTGATCTACTCTCTGAACAGCTGATCTCTGAACAGCTGATCTACTCTCTGATCAGCTGATCTCTGAACAGCTGACCTCTGAACAGCTGATCTACTCTCTGAACAGCTGATCTCTGAACAGCTGATCTACTCTCTGAACAGCTGATCTCTGAACAGCTGACCTCTGAACAGCTGATCTACTCTCTGAACAGCTGATCTCTGAACAGCTGATCTTTACCTCTGGTTGTCTGAAGTCATCAACTCCGGAGTAGATCTTCTCCTTCAGAGAGCTGTTGGACTGTTTGATGCTCTGGATCTGATCAACGAGAGAGAGACAGGTGAGAGTTAGACAGGTGAGAGACAGGTGAGAGTTAGACAGGTGAGAGACAGGTGAGAGTTAGACAGGTGAGAGTTAGACAGGTGAGAGACAGACAGGTGAGAGTCAGACAGGTGAGAGACAGGTGAGAGTTAGACAGGTGAGAGACAGGTGAGAGTTAGACAGGTGAGAGACAGGTGAGAGTTAGACAGGTGAGAGTCAGACAGGTGAGAGTCAGACAGGTGAGAGTCAGACAGGTGAGAGTCAGACAGGTGAGAGTCAGACAGGTGAGAGTCAGACAGGTGAGAGACAGGTGAGAGTTAGACAGGTGAGAGACAGGTGAGAGACAGGTGAGAGTCAGACAGGTGAGAGTCAGACAGGTGAGAGTCAGACAGGTGAGAGTCAGACAGGTGAGAGTCAGACAGGTGAGAGTCAGACAGGTGAGAGTTAGACAGGTGAGAGACAGGTGAGAGTTAGACAGGTGAGAGACAGGTGAGAGTTAGACAGGTGAGAGTCAGACAGGTGAGAGTCAGACAGGTGAGAGTCAGACAGGTGAGAGTCAGACAGGTGAGAGTTAGACAGGTGAGAGACAGGTGAGAGTTAGACAGGTGAGAGACAGACAGGTGAGAGTCAGACAGGTGAGAGACAGGTGAGAGTTAGACAGGTGAGAGACAGGTGAGAGTTAGACAGGTGAGAGACAGGTGAGAGTTAGACAGGTGAGAGTCAGACAGGTGAGAGACAGGTGAGAGTCAGACAGGTGAGAGTCAGACAGGTGAGAGTCAGACAGGTGAGAGTCAGACAGGTGAGAGTCAGACAGGTGAGAGTCAGACAGGTGAGAGTCAGACAGGTGAGAGACAGACAGGTGAGAGTCAGACAGGTGAGAGACAGACAGGTGAGAGACAGACAGGTGAGAGTCAGACAGGTGAGAGTCAGACAGGTGAGAGTCAGACAGGTGAGAGACAGACAGGGTGAGAGTCAGACAGGTGAGACAGACATTCAGTCTGACAGACAGGTACCTGTCTCTTGATGGAGACCAGCTGACAGTCCAGCTGTCTGAGGAGACCCTGAGGCGGCTGAGAGGACAGACAGACGACATCCTGCTGGTTCAGGAACATTCCTCTGGGGGGCCGCTTCTTCATCCGCTGAGACGCCTTGCTGCCCACCTGAGGACAGACAGGTAGCAGACAGACAGGTTACTGCTGCCCACCTGAGGACAGGTAGCAGACAGACAGGTTACTGCTGCCCACCTGAGGACAGGTAGCAGACAGACAGGTTACTGCTGCCCACCTGAGGACAGGTAGCAGACAGACAGGTAGCAGACAGACAGGTAGCAGACAGACAGGTAGCAGACAGACAGGTAGCAGACAGACAGGTAGCAGACAGACAGGTAGCAGACAGACAAGTAGCAGACAGACAGACAGACAGGTAGCAGACAGACGGGTAGCAGACAGACAGACAGGTAGCAGACAGACAGACAGGTAGCAGACAGACAGGTAGCAGACAGACAAGTAGCAGACAGACAGACAGACAGACAGGTAGCAGACAGACGGGTAGCAGACAGACAGACAGGTAGCAGACAGACAGACAGGTAGCAGACAGACGGGTAGCAGACAGACAGGTAGCAGACAGACAGGTAGCAGACAGACAGGTAGCAGACAGACAGACAGGTAGCAGACAGACAGGTAGCAGACAGACAAGTAGCAGACAGACAGACAGGTAGCAGACAGACAGGTAGCAGACAGACAAGTAGCAGACAGACAGACAGGTAGCAGACAGACAGGTAGCAGACAGACAGGTAGCAGACAGACAAGTAGCAGACAGACAGACAGGTAGCAGACAGACAGGTAGCAGACAGACAAGTAGCAGACAGACAGACAGGTAGCAGACAGACAGGTAGCAGACAGACAGGTAGCAGACAGACAGACAGGTAGCAGACAGACAGGTAGCAGACAGACAGGTAGCAGACAGACAGGTAGCAGACAGACAGGTAGCAGACAGACAGGTAGCAGACAGACAGACAGGTAGCAGACAGACAGGTAGCAGACAGACAAGTAGCAGACAGACAGACAGACAGGTAGCAGACCAGAGGAGTAGCAGACAGACAGGTAGCAGTACAGCCAGGTAGCAAGAACAGACAGGTAGCAGGACAGACATGAGCAGGTAGGGCCAGACGGACAGGTAGCAGACAGACAGTAGAGACAGACAGGTAGCAGCAAACAGACAGGTAGCAGAAGACAGACAGGTAGCAGACAGACAGACAGGTAGCAGACAGACAGGTAGCAGACAGAAGACAGGTAGCAGACAGACATGGCTAGCAGACCAGACAGGTAGGCAGACAGACAGACAGGTAGCAGACCCAGGGGGGGGGGTAGCAGGGGGACAGGGTAGCAGCAGACAGGTCTCATACAGACAGGTAAGCCAGACAGAACAGGTAGCAGAAGACAGGTAGCCAGACAGACAGGTAGCAGACAGACACGGTAGCAGACAGACAGGTAGCAGACAGACAGACAGGCATAGCCAGACATGACGGCGTATGCAGACAGACAGGCTAACAGACAGACAGGTAGCAGACAGACAGGTAGCAGACAGACAGGTAGCAGACAGACAGGTAACAGACAGACAGGTAGCAGACAGACAGACAGGTAGCAGACAGACAGACAGACAGGTAGCAGACAGACAGGTAGCAGACAGACAGGTAAACAGTGAGAAAGGTTCATTTTCCTCACCTTTAAACTAGCTACTGGTTTGACCTCCGACCTCTCTGATCCAGAACTCACCTGAAACAGTCAGTAAACAGTCAGTAAAGTCAGTTAACAGTAAACAATCAGTAAACAGTAAACAGTCAGTAAAGTCAGTTAACAGTCAGTTAACAGTCAGTAAACAGTCAGTAAACAATCAGTAAACAGTAAACAGTCAGTAAAGTCAGTAAACAGTCAGTAAAGTCAGTAAACAGTCAGTAAACAGTCAGTAAAGTCAGTTAACAGTCAGTTAACAGTAAACAATCAGTAAACAGTCAGTAAACAGTCAGTAAAGTCAGTAAACAGTCAGTTAACAGTAAACAGTCAGTAAAGTCAGTTAACAGTCAGTTAACAGTAAACAATCAGTAAACAGTCAGTAAACAGTCAGTAAACAGTCAGTAAAGTCAGTAAACAGTCAGTAAACAGTCAGTAAACAGTCAGTAAACAGTCAGTAAACAGTCAGTAAAGTCAGTAAACAGTCAGTAAACAGTCAGTAAACAGTCAGTAAACATAACAGTCAGTAAACAGTCAGTAAAGTCAGTTAACAGTCAGTTAACAGTCAGTTAACAGTAAACAGTCAGTAAAGTCAGTAAACAGTCAGTAAAGTCAGTAAACAGTCAGTTAACAGTCAGTTAACAGTCAGTTAACAGTCAGTTAACAGTAAACAGTCAGTAAAGTCAGTAAACAGTCAGTTAACAGTCAGTAAACAGTCAGTAAACAGTCAGTTAACAGTCAGTTAACAGTCAGTTAACCGTAAACAGTCAGTAAAGTCAGTAAACAGTCAGTAAAGTCAGTAAACAGTCAGTAAACAGTCAGTTAACAGTCAGTTAACAGTCAGTTAACAGTCAGTTAACAGTAAACAGTCAGTCAACAGTCAGTAAACAGTCAGTTAACAGTAAACAGTCAGTAAAGTCAGTAAACAGTCAGTTAACAGTCAGTAAACAGTCAGTAAACAGTCAGTTAACAGTCAGTTAACAGTCAGTAAAGTCAGTAAACAGTCAGTAAACAGTCAGTAAACAGTAAACAGTCAGTAAAGTCAGTAAACAGTCAGTAAAGTCAGTAAACAGTCAGTAAACAGTCAGTAAAGTCAGTTAACAGTCAGTTAACAGTAAACAATCAGTAAACAATCAGTAAACAGTCAGTAAACAGTCAGTAAACAGTCAGTAAACAGTCAGTAAAGTCAGTAAACAGTCAGTAAACAGTCAGTAAAGTCAGTAAACAGTCAGTAAAGTCAGTAAACAGTCAGTTAACAGTCAGTTAACAGTCAGTTAACAGTAAACAGTCAGTAAAGTCAGTAAACAGTCAGTAAAGTCAGTAAACAGTCAGTTAACAGTCAGTAAACAGTCAGTTAACAGTAAACAGTCAGTAAAGTCAGTAAACAGTCAGTAAAGTCAGTAAACAGTCAGTTAACAGTCAGTAAACAGTCAGTTAACCGTAAACAGTCAGTAAAGTCAGTAAACAGTCAGTAAAGTCAGTAAACAGTCAGTAAACAGTCAGTAAACAGTCAGTTAACAGTCAGTTAACAGTCAGTTAACAGTAAACAGTCAGTAAAGTCAGTAAACAGTCAGTAAAGTCAGTAAACAGTCAGTTAACAGTCAGTAAACAGTCAGTTAACAGTAAACAGTCAGTAAAGTCAGTAAACAGTCAGTAAAGTCAGTAAACAGTCAGTTAACAGTCAGTTAACAGTCAGTTAACCGTAAACAGTCAGTAAAGTCAGTAAACAGTCAGTAAAGTCAGTAAACAGTCAGTAAACAGTCAGTAAACAGTCAGTTAACAGTCAGTTAACAGTCAGTTAACAGTCAGTTAACAGTAAACAGTCAGTCAACAGTCAGTAAACAGTCAGTTAACAGTAAACAGTCAGTAAAGTCAGTAAACAGTCAGTTAACAGTCAGTAAACAGTCAGTAAACAGTCAGTTAACAGTCAGTTAACAGTCAGTAAAGTCAGTAAACAGTCAGTAAACAGTCAGTAAACAGTAAACAGTCAGTAAAGTCAGTAAACAGTCAGTAAAGTCAGTAAACAGTCAGTAAACAGTCAGTAAAGTCAGTTAACAGTCAGTTAACAGTAAACAATCAGTAAACAGTCAGTAAACAGTCAGTAAACAGTCAGTAAACAGTCAGTAAACAGTCAGTAAACAGTCAGTAAAGTCAGTAAACAGTCAGTAAACAGTCAGTAAACATAACAGTCAGTAAACAGTCAGTAAAGTCAGTTAACAGTCAGTTAACAGTCAGTTAACAGTAAACAGTCAGTAAAGTCAGTAAACAGTCAGTAAAGTCAGTAAACAGTCAGTTAACAGTCAGTAAACAGTCAGTTAACAGTAAACAGTCAGTAAAGTCAGTAAACAGTCAGTAAAGTCAGTAAACAGTCAGTTAACAGTCAGTAAACAGTCAGTTAACAGTCAGTTAACAGTCAGTTAACCGTAAACAGTCAGTAAAGTCAGTAAACAGTCAGTAAAGTCAGTAAACAGTCAGTAAACAGTCAGTAAACAGTCAGTTAACAGTCAGTTAACAGTCAGTTAACAGTCAGTTAACAGTAAACAGTCAGTCAACAGTCAGTAAACAGTCAGTTAACAGTAAACAGTCAGTAAAGTCAGTAAACAGTCAGTTAACAGTCAGTAAACAGTCAGTAAACAGTCAGTTAACAGTCAGTTAACAGTAAACAGTCAGTAAAGTCAGTAAACAGTCAGTAAAGTCAGTAAACAGTCAGTAAAGTCAGTGAACAGTCAGTAAACAGTCAGTAAACATAACAGTCAGTAAACAGTCAGTTAACAGTAAACAGTCAGTAAACAGTCAGTAAACAGTCAGTAAACAGTCAGTTAACAGTCAGTTAACAGTAAACAGTCAGTAAAGTCAGTAAACAGTCAGTAAACAGTCAGTAAAGTCAGTAAACAGTCAGTAAACAGTCAGTAAACAGTCAGTTAACAGTCAGTTAACAATAAACAGTCAGTAAACAGTCAGTAAAGTCAGTAAACAGTCAGTAAAGTCAGTAAACAGTCAGTAAACAGTCAGTAAACAGTCAGTAAAGTCAGTAAACAGTCAGTAAAGTCAGTAAACAGTCAGTAAACAGTCAGTTAACAGTCAGTTAACAGTCAGTTAACAGTCAGTTAACAGTAAACAGTCAGTAAACAGTCAGTAAAGTCAGTAAACAGTCAGTAACCAGTCAGTAAACAGTCAGTAACCAGTCAGTAAAGTCAGTAAACAGTCAGTAAAGACCGCACCTACAGGGTAACTTGAAGAGGGTCCGAGTCCGACCCTTGTCAATTAACTACAGGGGTCCCTCAGGGCTCTGTTCTTGGTCCCCTCCTCTTCTCGCTCGGATCTGTCATTAGCCCGCATGGTTTTTCATACCACTGCTACGCTGATGACACCCAATTAATTCTGTCCTTTCCCCGCTCAGAGACCCAGGTCGTCGCACGCATCTCTGCTTGTCTAGCTGACATCTCTCAGTGGATGTCTGCTCACCACCTCAAGCTCAACCTTGACAAGACTGAACTGCTTTTCCTTCCGGGAAAAGATTGTCCCACTCTTGACCTGACTATCAACATCGGCACCTCAGTTGTTTCCCCGACTCAGACTGCAAGGAATCTGGGTGTGACCCTAGATAACAACCTGTCCTTCACTGCAAACATCGCTGCTACAACCCGTTGCTGCAGATACACACTTTACAACATCAGGAGGATACGTCCCCTCCTGACCCAGAAAGCCACGCAGGTTCTGGTCCAGGCTCTCGTCATCTCACGCCTAGACTACTGCAACTCCCTCCTGGCTGGTCTACCTGCATGTGCCATCCGATCTCTGCAGCTCATCCAGAATGCAGCGGCTCGTCTGGTCTTCAACCTTCCTAAATGTTCCCACACCACGCCGCTCCTCCGCTCAACAAAGCACTTATATACTAATAAAGGACTGGCTTATCTAAAGCCAGTTGAGTAGCACTTGAAATGTTTGGCTCTATGAAACCTGATGTACTTTATGATTCTGTTATCTTCAAGGTTGTGTCTTCCTGGTCGAACGCACTTATTGTAAGTCGCTTTGGATAAAAGCGTCAGCTAAATGCAATGTAATGTAATGTAATGTAAACAGTCAGTAAACAGTCAGTAAAGTCAGTAAACAGTAAACAGTCAGTAACCAGTCAGTAAAGTCAGTAAACAGTCAGTAACCAGTCAGTAAAGTCAGTAAACAGTCAGTAAACAGTAAACAGTCAGTAAAGTCAGTAAACAGTCAGTAAAGTCAGTAAACAGTCAGTAAACAGTTAACAGAAGTGTACCTCCTTCTTGTCATCTTTGTTTTGCTCGATTTCGCAGTCGCTGGGAGGAGTTTTGTCCTCAACTTCATTTTCACTGAAACATTAAAAATAATCAGAAAACATCACAGCATCACATGACTATTACAGATGTATACAATTATACCTGTTTCCTGTTGGTGTGTGTTACCTGTGCAGGTGTCATGTTACCTGGTGTGTTACCTGTGCAGGTGTCATGTTACCTGGTGTGTTACCTGTGCAAGTGTCATGTTACCTGGTGTGCTACCTGTGCAGGTGTCCTGTTACCTGGTGTGTTACCTGTGCAGGTGTCATGTTACCTGGTGTGCTACCTGTGCAGGTGTCATATTACCTGGTGTGTTACCTGTGCAGGTGTCATGTTACCTGGTGTGTTACCTGTGCAGATGTCATGTTACCTGGTGTGTTACCTGTGCAAGTGTCATGTTACCTGGTGTGCTACCTGTGCAGGTGTCATGTTACCTGGTGTGTTACCTGTGCAGGTGTCATGTTACCTGGTGTGTTACCTGTGCAGGTGTCATGTTACCTGGTGTGTTACCTGTGCAAGTGTCATGTTACCTGGTGTGCTACCTGTGCAGGTGTCATGTTACCTGGTGTGTTACCTGTGCAGGTGTCATGTTACCTGGTGTGTTACCTGTGCAGGTGTCATGTTACCTGGTGTGTTACCTGTGCAGGTGTCATGTTACCTGGTGTGTTACCTGTGCAGGTGTCATGTTACCTGGTGTGTTACCTGTGCAAGTGTCATGTTACCTGGTGTGCTACCTGTGCAGGTGTCATGTTACCTGGTGTGTTACCTGTGCAGGTGTCATGTTACCTGGTGTGTTACCTGTGCAGGTGTCATGTTACCTGGTGTGTTACCTGTGCAGGTGTCATGTTACCTGGTGTGCTACCTGTGCAGGTGTCATGTTACCTGGTGTGCTACCTGTGCAGGTGTCATGTTACCTGGTGTGCTACCTGTGCAGGTGTCATGTTACCTGGTGTGCTACCTGTGCCGGTGTCATGTTACCTGGTGTGCTACCTGTGCAGGTATCATGTTACCTGTGCAGGTGTCATTTGACCTGTGTCAGCTCACCTGTCGTCTCTCTCTCTCTTGTTTTTTCGTGTCTGTCGGTCCATCAGACTGGTTTTACTGCGACTTTTCTTCCAGGAGTAATAAAACCGAACCAGACTGGCCATGGTCTTATCAGGTAACTGAGAGAGAGCAGAAACACAGCATAACATCAGTGATACGGGTCTCACTGGTTTAATCTGGTTGTGGTGTTTTGTTCTAACTGGTTTGGATGGTATGAACGGACTGGTACCATCTGCTGGATGCGGTGGAAGCTCTTCCCATGGAAACTGAAGGCCTGTTCAAACAGAACTCGGTCCTCCACCGTCCACTCGTCAGGAAACGGGGTGAAGTTGGGCAGATCTGCCAGAGACTTTTCTACGTTGTGTTTGTGCCAGAAGAGCATCCCCAGAGCCTGGACACAGATACATCCATCACACACACACACACACACACACACATACATAACACATCTGCATACACACACACCTGAAGGGTGCAGCTGATCCTGATCCATCACGCAAATATTTTAAAGTTTACACACAAATTAAAGGTTTACCTGCTCCATGTTGTAGCCGTGTCTCTCTTTGGCGATGGCAATGTACTCGTCCACTGGAACAAAAAACACACCGATCACACACCTGGATCACACACACCTGGATCGCACACACCTGGATCGCACAGACACCTGGATCGCACACACACCTGGATCGCACACACCTGGATCGCACACACCTGGATCGCACACACCTGGATCGCACACACACCTGGATCACACACACCTGGATCACACACACCTGGAGCGCACACACCTAGATCACACACCTAGATCACACACACCTGGATCGCACACATGGATCGCACACACACCTGGATCGCACACACACCTGGATCGCACACACCTGGATCGCACACACCTGGATCGCACACACCTGGATCGCACACACCTGGATCACACACACACCTGGATCGCACACACACCTGGATCGCACACACCTGGATCACACACACCTGGAGCGCACACACCTAGATCACACACACCTGGATCACACACCTGGATCGCACACACCTGGATTACACACCTGGATCACACACACCTGGATCGCACACACCTGGATCACACACACCTGGATCACACACACCTGGATCACACACACAGATCACACACACTTGGATCACACACACCTGGATCACACACACCTGGAGCACACACCTGGAGCCCACACACCTGGATCACACACACCTGGAGCGCACACACCTGGATCACACACACCTGGAGCACACAGCACACCTGGAGCACACACCTGGATCACACACACCTGGATCGCACACACCTGGATCACACACACCTGGATCGCACACACCTGGATCACACACACCTGGAGCACACACACCTGGATCACACACACCTGGAGCACACACACCTGGAGCACACACACCTGGATCGCACACACCTGGATCGCACACACCTGGATCACACACCTGGATCGCACACACCTGGATCACACACACCTGGAGCGCACACACCTGGAGCCCACACCGGGATCACACACACAGATCACACTAGTGTTAATTTCGTTGACTAAAACTATGACGAAATATGTTCGTCAACTACCTTTTTTTCCATGACGAAAACGAGACGGCAGTAAACAATAACTGCAACAAAATCATCATGCAATATCGTTGACGAAAAGTGACGAGACGAAAATGTAGTTTACTAAATAAAAACTATGCCAAAATCATTATCAAAGATAACGTCAGTTTTTCTCCCAGCAGTTCCATTTCCGGCGCTGCGGCTGGGCAGCAGCTGTGTGTCGGTGCTGCGGCTGGGCAGCAGCTGTGTGTCTGTGCTGCGGCTGGGCAGCAGCTGTGTTTCTGTGCTGCAGCTGGGCAGCAGCTGTGTGTCTGTGCTGCGGCTGGGCAGCAGCTGTGTGTCTGTGCTGCGGCTGGGCAGCAGCTGTGTGTCTGTGCTGCGGCTGGGCAGCAGCTGTGTTTCTGTGCTGCGGCTGGGCAGCAGCTGTGTTTCTGTGCTGCGGCTGGGCAGCAGCTGTGTGTCTGTGCTGCGGCTGGGCAGCAGCTGTGTGTCTGGGCAGCGGCACACTGTGAACTGTCAGGAAGACTATGGTCTAACTCATGGTCTAACTAACCTTATTCAACATAAAATAAAATGGCAATGTTACAAGCTGGCTCTGCTTGTAACATAAGGACAACAATTCCACACCGGAGTTGCCCCAAAACAATCATTTATTTTATCCAACACAGTGGTTACAACCAACAATAAAACAGAACAGAGGAGCGGTGTCCTGCTGCACCGAGCAGGGCAGCTGAGAGAGAACGAGAGCCTGTTCTGCAGCCCTCTTATATCCTGGAATCAAGTCCCACAGGTGGGTCCCATCACTGCTGATTACAACAAACACACAGGTTACAGCAGCACCACCTGGTGGACAACCACAGGGTTGTCACCCCCCCCACCCCCCCCCCCCCATATAAAAGAAGTGTCCCCAAGACACTGAAACATCCAAACCAATAACAGAGCTTATACTTACAGCTAATACATAACACATAGCTTACCCGGGTGTAAATGTTACCCTAGTTTACCACTGTCTACTTTCCACATTCACCAAGTCAGCAACCCGGCACCCTGGAAGCAATTAAAGAGCAGGAAAACGCTGGAAAAAAGATGTGAAAACAGGAACAAAACCACCTTAAGGTACTGCTCTCGACAAAGCATCAGCCATCACATTTTCGGAATCTTTGAGATGTCGGATGTCCAAATGGAAAGGCTGTAGAAATAGGGACCATCTCATTAACCGCTGGTTTGGGTTCTGCAAAGACTGTAAAAAGGTCAGGGGATTGTGATCTGTGTATATCACTATTGGCCTATAACCACTCCCTATATACACTTCGAAGTGCTGCAATGCCCAGATCAATGCCAGTGCCTCCTTCTCTACAATCGAGTAGTTCAACTGGTAGGAGTTAAACTGGTAGGAGTTAAACTGGTAGGAGTTCAACTGGTAGGAGTTCAACTGGTAGGAGTTCAACTGGTAGGAGTTAAACTTGCGTGAGAAGTAACTGACCGGGAGCTCCATACCAGAGGCATCTTGCTGTAATAACACGGCACCGGCACCCGTATTACATGCATCCACTTTAAGATGAAAAGGTTCCTCAAGACGCGGGGCTCTCAGCACTGGAGCGCCAATTAGAAGATCCTTAACGTCCTTGAAAGCCTTCTGACACTGAACTGACCAGTTCAACTTCATCCTTGGACTTATCAGGTCAGTCAAGGGAGCAACAACCGAGGAGAAGTTTTCACAAAAACAACGGTAATAACCTACCATGCCAAGAAAACGAGCCAACTCCTTCCTGGTGGTAGGCGGAGGAAACCTCTCAACGGCTTCCACTTTTGCCCTTACTGGACGCACAGTACCCTGACCAACGACCTTACCCAGATATGTCACTGTGGCTTTAACAAACTCACACTTGGCCAAGTTCACAGTGAGATTTTCCCAGACCAGGCGATCAAACAGGGCCTGGATGCGCTGTAGGTGCTCTGACCATGTGTCACTGTACACCACCAAATCATCTAAATACACGGCACACCCTTGTAACCCAGAAACCACGCGGTTCATCAAGCGCTGGAATGTAGCCGGTGCGTTTCTAAGACCAAATGGCATGACCGTGTAAGAGTATAACCCTGTAGGCGTTATAAAGGATGCAATTTCCCTGGCCCGTGGGGTCAGTGGTACTTGCCAGTAACCTTTAAGAAGATCAAACTTGCTTACAAACTTAGCTGCGCCAACTTGATCCACACAATCCTCCATCCGAGGTAGGGGAAAACTATCTGGCTTGGTTACAGCATTTACCTTGCGAAAATCAGTATAGGGTCTAAAAGTTCTGTCAGGTTTAGCCACTAACAAACATGGTGAGGCCCAGCTAAAATGTGAGGGTTCTGCAATGCCATTATCTAGCATGTATGCCACCTCTGACTCTAACTGCTCACGTTTTTCAGGGGAGTTTCTGTAAAACCGCTGTTTTATGGGCGTAACCTCTCCCACGTCAATGTCATGTTCCACCAGATGCGTCCGTGAAGGAACATCTGAAAATAGGGTAGGATATGACCTGATAAGAGCACATATCATCGTGTCTAGACCGTGGCAAATGTTCCAAGAACGTGTCCAGTTTACACAGGGACTCTGAATTATTAAACCGACCTTGTGTTCTACAGTCGAGTTCATCAACCTTGGTTTCCACCAAGGATAGAGACCCTGCCACGTTTAAAGGAACTGCCACAGCTGCCGGTTTAACTTCTGCTTCGCTTACTGAAACAACACGAAAGAAATAGGGCTTTAACAGGTTTATGTGGCACAACTGGGTGGACCTCTTCCTATCTGGCGTGGAGATGACATAATTCTGATCCGACACCTGACACACCACAGAGTAGGGTCCCGCAAATTTTGCCTGAAAAGGGGAAGCAACTAAAGGCAACAAGGCCAGCACTGGATCCCCAGGGCTAAAAGTGCGGTTCTCGGTTTTCCTGTCATACAAGGTCTTCATTGTCTGTTGACTTTTCTCCAACTTCACCTGGGCCTGCCTAACCGCTTCAAAGAGACGCCGTTTTAAACCATTTACATACTCCCGCAGGTTGGCTGGTGGATCAGGAATCTCCCAATCCTCTTTTAGTACTGCTAGCGGGCCCCTAACATGGTGACCAAAAACCAGGTCGTTGGGGCTGAAACCAGTGCTAGACTGTACGACCTCCCTTGCCGCCAACAACAACCAAGGCAAACCTTCTTCCCAGTCACGATTCAACTCATTGCAGTATGAACGTAACAAGGACTTCAGTGTTTGGTGGAACCTCTCAAGTGCTCTGTGGATGGTAAGCGCTCGAGGTTACATGTTAGACCCTCTGTCCTCAGACCCTCTGTCCTCAGACCCTCTGTCCTCAGACCCTCTGTCCTCAGACCCTCTGTCCTCAGACCCTCTGTCCTCAGACCCTCACATCGTACAAGGAAACACTTCCAGAGAAAACCCACAGTTTAAAAGGGAAAAATGGGAGAAACCTCAGGGAGAGCAACAGAGGCGGGATCCCTCTCCCAGGACGGACAGACGTGCAATAGATGCCGTGTGTAAATCCAAGAGATAATACATTTGCAACATAGGTAGTCCAAATGTTTGGAAATGCTTGTGTGTATAATAGGAAGATGAATCCACGAGTATATCCATCCAGGACCTATGATCCAGGACCACAGCCACGACTCAAGATCCAGGGCTCACGATGCAGGACACAGGAGCGCAGGATCATCCATGACTCCGGATCCCGGCGTATATAGACACCAAAAAGAAAGACATTTGGGGAAGCTGGGTTAATGGGAACATGAGAGTACACAGGTATAGACAGAGAGAAGGAAGAAGTAAGATGTCCCCCGACAAACTAAGCCTATATCAGCAAAACTAGGGGCTGCATCTAATCAGCCCTAACTATAAGCTTTATCAAAAAGAAAGGTCTTAAGCGCACTCTTAAAAACGGATAGGGTGTCTGCCGCCCGAACACAAACTGGAAGCTGATTCCACAAATGTGGAGCTTGATAAGAAAAGGCTCTGGCTCCCATTGT